GCCCGGCCCCGGGCAGATGCGGCACAACATGCCACCGACGATTACCAGACGGTCGACCAGGTGCACTACTGGAGAAGCAACGGCAAGCCCAAGCGTGAGCGGGCACTGCAGTGGCACGGACCCGGCGTCATCATCGGTTTCGAAGGTGTCGCCGACGTCTGGGTCGGCCACCGCTCTGCGACTGTGAAGGTCAACCACGGACACCTACGCAATGCAACGGCTTCAGAGCTCGTGCCGTGGGGGCAAGTGCTGAACGCCCTGAAGTGGCAATCTGCCGCCAAGGCCGCCACAGGGCTCACCTCCCGGCGGGCCGCCAGGAGACCAACCACCACCACCTACAGGGTCTAGAGGAGGAGGAGGAGGAGGAGGAGGAGGAGGAGGAGGAAGAGGACGGAGGAAGTGGACCAGCACCACCCGACATGGGCGACGATACCTTCCTCGACCATACGGGCGCCTCTCCAGAGCCACATCCTGCGAGCTCACGGCCGACACCAGCACCGGGGATTGGATCGTTAGCACCATCATCACCGAGCGTGGTTTCCGTCACCAGTTCCTCGAGTACGAGCGTGACTTCGTGGAACGGATCTACGCCTACGGTCGCACCGCTGGAGATGAACCCCCGTGCGGTGGCAGCGCACAACCTTCGAGTCGGACACAACCACCACAGCGTCTACGTCACCTGCAGGACCTGTCAGAAGCACGCACCCTGGCTCCTGCGCAATTATCGAGATCATGAGCCTGATATCTCGCAGATGCACTACACACTGAGGTGGGAACTGAACCATCGTTGGAGGCAACTCACAGGAAGCTACCTGACTACGTAGGGCAGCAAGGCTGCAAAGGCTGAGTGAATGATTTTCCCCCCCTCCGCCGCTGCGTCTCTCATATTTCTTTAGCAAGTCGCAGAACGGCCCAAATTACGTAAGTCCGCATTGCACACTTTGGCCGTGCTTCTTGACGGTCGCAAGACGACCCCTCTTCCACGTAAGTCCGCATTACACCTTTTGTTTTCCAGATTTACGAATCAATCTGCATGCTAGAAAGAAGCTTCCTATTCAGTGTGCACAGTTTCTACGTGGTGACGACCACACTCACGTTTTTGATTTCTCTTATCACATCGTCCTGCCAAGCGCCCGCCGCGCCGAGATGAGATTTTGTTTTTCAGGCTTGTGCAGCTCACCCAATAGTAGCTCGAAGCTCCTTGGTGCAAACCGTGTCAGGCCTTTTGCCTGCCCCTCTCGCGTGAGAAGTGCCGTGTCCGGCACTCTTGCCCATTCGAGATAATGAAATTGCGATCGAACTGCAGTGTTCGTCACCCCGGCTGCCCGAGGAACCAAACAAGAGGAGTGTGGTTCCGGTCGATTCGATAACATGTCGATCGCCCTTCCGCCGAGCTTCCGCCGCGGTCCCCGCTCTCTCTCCACTGCTGCTCTCACCCTGTATCCCGCTGCCCATCTTGGCCCTCATCATTTCAGGGCCCTTGGTCATTGAGCTACGCAGATCGCTCGAGCCGCGCTCGCGTTCGACAAAAAGCCATCGGTGCCGCGCACCATTCCATGTCACACAGGCGACACCCGTGAGCAAGTATGGGCTGATGTTGGATTCTTCATATCGCCTTCATGCCAGCACCTGGTCAAGGCCTACAAACGAATATCCGACACATTGGCATGGGTTAGATTGAGAACCCGCTCTGGGATAGTGACAATGTTTACCAGATATGCTCCTCATAACCTCAGCCGCTACCTGAACGTCGTCATTTTTACGCCACGTTGGATTTGACATACCGATCCTGCAATGCAAAGGCGAGGAAATTGCTTCTAGGCGATTTCAACACTAGGATGGGGCTGGCTCTGCCGGGTGAGCAAAATATCATGGGATATTATGGTTGGGGACGGCGTGCACAACACGACATTGAACAAGCTAATTGAGACTTGTTTGTCAAATTCTGCACGGGTTGCCACCTTCAGGTTGCGAGCACTTTCCTGCAGCAGCCGTTGGAGCAAAAGATCACGTCCGTAGAGGTCATGGCGTCGCCAGCAGACGCAAATATAGAAAATATGCTCAATTGGATGTGGTCGTGTGCGAAGCTCCTCTGCGAATGCGAATCGTTGCGCTGGAAAGCCGCCGGGAAGCAATCCTCGCTACAGACCATCATCTTTGGTGATTGCTACACTTCCGATGCCAAGAGATACACAAATACCGTATGCAAAAGGACGTCCAAACAGGCATGCCATACAAGACCCGGTCACTTTGAATGCCTACGTGGATATAGTTTACGAAATCCGAGACGGCGGAACCAATGAATCTGAATGAAATGTGGGATGAAGGAAAGACCGCAATGCAGACAGCAGCCGAAACGCTGCCGAGACGCCAAACAGAAGTCGTGAAGCAATGGATCACGCAAGCCACGCTTGACTTGATCGACCAGCGAGGCCATGCAAGGGCAGCCAACGACAAGCTGGAGGGGAAACGAATATTGAAAGAAGTCCGCAAGGCATGCAAGCACGATAAAACATCCTGGGTGGACGCACAAATATCAAGCGGAAACTGGGACGCTCTCAAAAGACACTGCCAGCCCAAGCCACGCCAAAAAGGAAGGCTCAAGGACATGAACGATGAACTGCGAATTGGTCGACAGCACGCAGATGATGGGCCTGTTTTCCACCTCCACCACCATAAGCTGGAGGGGGAACGAGGAGGACGAGGAGGACGAAGAGGAGGAGGAGGTGGAGGTGGAGGAGGAGGACCCCTCCCCCTCCAACTTATGGTGGTGGTGGTGGAAAACAGGCCCATCAGCAGAGAGCGGACATCATGGCCAAGTATTTAGAGAAAGTGCAATGGCAAGTACGAGTGGCAAAAATTGTCAACGACGATCGTGTTGGAGACCCACTACCAGCTCTGGAAGCAAATTTCACAGCAGAAGTAAGCAGCGCAATCTATAGACTTAAACGTGGCACTGCCTGCGGAATGGACGACATACCAGCGGAATATTGGAAAACAATTGCTACGGACCCGGGTGGGCTCGATTGAAGTACAGATTTGTGCAACAAATGATGGACCGAAAAAGCCGTGCCAGAAGATTGGGAACAATCCGTTACTTTCGCACTACATCAAAACCAAAAGGCCCTCGACAATTGTGACAACTACCGTCCCATCAGTCTGCTGTGCGTGGCCTACATGTGTATGGCAACACATATCTTGAAGCGGCTGCACGACGCCAAGGCCGAAGACAGATTGACGCCGACGCAATTAGTTTCCGCTGGGGACGTAGGACATCAGACGCGTTGCATGCAGTACGTTGTTATATCCAATTGGCATATGCGGACAGGCGTGGTGGCGTGGATTGGAAAAATGCCTTTGACTCGATCAACGTGAACGCGCTGATGAACGCGCTGCGAAATTTTGGGGTTCCCAGCTGGATCCTGAACGTCACTGGCAACATCTTCGGCGGAAGAAAACTCCGAGTCGCTGATGGACGGCAACGGTCTATAAAAAGACATCAGTACTCCGGAATTTTGCAAGGATGCCCGCTATCCCCATTCTTCTTTGTGATTGTGATGACGATGGTTACCCGGAACGCCACGCAGAAGATGGAGTACGCCGAACTGTGGTGGAAGAATGTTTGGCCATCATGTTGTATGCAGCTGATAGATTGTTGGTGGGCCGCAACCAAGATCAATTACAATCCTTGTTGGCAGAATAGGGAGCCACATGCGAACCCTACCCCTACCCCCCACGATTTCGAAGGGGGAGGGTGGGGTTCACGTCGCTCGGATGAAGTGAACCCCACCCTCCCCCTCAGAAATCGTGGGGGGGTAGGGGTAGGGTTCGCATGTGGCCCCCTACAGAAATCACTCGCGCAGGAGCACCAGTGGGCATGGAACTTCACTGAGACAAGTTTCAACTTATGCCGGTTCGCTGCGACATCAACCTCCGCACGCCCAGTGGTGATCTCATTCCATCTCAAGATTCGATGGTATATCTTGGCGCCACGCTGTCAAGCTCTTAGCGGCTATCTGGAGAGCTCGGAGAGAGATTGGGAGCGGCTTGGGGAGAATTTTGTAAGTATGCGCGCGCCTGGCAGCACACGGCTATTAGCTCAGCTCGCAAAAAGCAACAGATTCGAAACACTTGTGACGAGCAAGATAATCTACTCCTTGAACTCAGCATGGACGGTTTCCAACGTAGGTATTTACGACGCATTTTGCATATCCCTCCAGCGTACGTTTCGCGAATTTCCAATCAGCAAGTCTTGACGCGAGCGGGCGATGGCTTGCGCTCGTGATCCAGTTGCTGAGCGCAACATGTGTATGTAGTTTTGCTTTCTACCCTCCTGCTGCTCCTCCTCCTCCTCTTCTCCCCCTCCCCCACAGCCGCTGACGATGTAGACTAAGAGGCCGCAAAGGCACCGCCGCTCCCGCAGAGCAGAGCTACCAAGCGGGCATACCTTCTCTTCGCCCACGCGCTTCGGCGTATGGCATGACTGTCCGGCCCGAATCGTGGCGTGACCGGCCCACTCCCTGCGAGTCCCAAGAATATGCTCCGCCACCACCTCCATTCCTCTCTCCTCCTCTTCCCTCCTCTTCCTCTCTTCTTTCGTGGGAGAGGGAGGGGGCGAGGGAGGTGGTGGTGGTGCATATTTTCTGGCCCCGTACTCCCCACCCCTGGTCACGCTCGAGATCGCCAGGAAAGAAAGCTACGCTCTCTGGCCGCATCGCCGATGCGTCGGAGACGCGGCGCGACCCTCCGACCCCAACTGCTCCGGGTCCCATCTGGGAGGCCTCCAGCGCGTGCTCTTGCCGGGGCCGGCTGGGAACTGGAACCGGCGCAGGGACTTGGAGCACACCCGCATGGCAGCTTGTTGGCCCCCCGAGGGGGCCCTCGGATCATCTTGCGCGTCTGCTTCCACGGTACTCACAAACAGCATCGACCCAGAGACAGATGCATTCAACTCTCTCGTTCATACAAGTGTTAGCCCGCTGGTGGGCGGCGGCGGCGGCCTGCTCCAGCGCCTGGGCCTCGGCCTGCGCGAGCACGCTGCCGGCCAACGCCTCGTCCGCCGCGGCCTCTCGCGGGAAGGGCGGCGCGGGGGCGCGCATCACCGGGGATGTGTCGGCCCCTATCCCAGGCGTCGTGGGCATTCCGAGCGGACCAAAAATCGGGGTCCCACTCGGGGATATTGGGCAGGGCGGCGTCCATCCTCGACGTGGGTGCGTCGGACTGGCCCCCCCCTGGGCTGCATCCCCAAGTTGCCCTCCCTTTCTAAGCGGCGTCATTTTTCGTGGAGAAGTCGGGGGCTGGGGGCGAGAAGTCGTCTGCGAGCGCAGGCATCCACAGTCACCACTCCTCGAGATCCCGAGGCACGTCTCCGCGGCGGTGAACATGGACATGCTTCCTGGCGGTCGGCAGTACAGACCACCTCCACCGAGTGGCACACCCAGGTGGCGCACCCGGGCGGGACAACAGGGGCCATCCTGGGCCGCCGCGCGGTCTACACGCCCTCCCGGCTGGGTCTGGGAGGGCGTGCCTGCACTATCCCAGCGCCCAGGATCGCACCGGCCAGGCCTGGTGGTGAGTTGCACACCCGGGCGAACAGCCCGCTGTATCGCCGCGTTGGGTCTCCGGAGGCCCGCTTCGGAGCCAGAGAAGCCCAGCAGGACGACTCGGGGTGGAAAAGACCGGTCCCCAGGGAGGGGTCGAGACTCCTCCTCCTCCTCCTCCTCCTCCTCCTCCTCCTCCTCCTCCTCCTCCTCGTCCTCGTCCTCGTCCTCCTATATAGGGCCCCCAGGAGGGGTCGATCGAGAGCTTCGCGGGCTGAGCTCAGCGGCGCGCAGGGAGGGCTGCCCCGTGTGGCTCTCGCCAGGCGCGCCGGCACGAGGGAGTGCCGCGCGGGCCCCGGATCGAGCCCGCTCGGATGCCGGGCGGGCCACCTTCCCAATGGGTGCCGAGCTGGGAAGCGGGCCTCGGGCGGGCGGCAGTGGGGGTGCCCCCGCATGATGGGAAGGGAAGGAAAGGCCCCCAAAGGGGCTCTTTAGGACCCCCTTTGGAGCCAGCGCTTGCCTAAAAGGGGCCCCTCCTCCTCCTCCTCCTCCTCCTCCTCCTCCTCCTCCTCCTCCTCCTCGTCCTCCTAGGGCCCCCAGGAGGGTGCCTCAAAAGAGACCCCAAAGGGCCCATTAGGGCGCCTTTGCTTCGCTCCCCAGTGCTGGGTCAGCCTCCATGACCGCCCGCCCGAGGGCCAGGCCGGGGCCACGCATCGAAGAGATCGGGGCGCGGCGGTGCCCGGGCAGGTGCCAGCTGCGGGAGACCCTCTCAAGTAGTGAAAAATTCATGGCGGGAGGTTTTTCGCTATTTCAGCCCCCTTGAGGGCCCTTACCAGGCCTCGGGAGCGTCAAAACACGACTCGGGATGAAAATCCGGTCCTGGGGAAGAGGTTCAGACCTCGGGGGGTCGACGTAATGAAAAAATTATGACGTCGGGGGTCTGGGGAGCACGGAGCGGGCTGGCGGATCAGAAGCGGCCGCGCGCAGGAGTCAGTCCCGACCCCTTCGCCAAGGCCAAGTTCTCATCCCGAGCAGCTCTTGGGCGGTCCCGTGGCCCGAGCTCCTGCACCTGCGGGCCGAAACTCGAGGACATCACCGCCTCGATCTGTTCGAAACGTCGGCTGCTCTCTGGGAGCGGGGTGGGAGGGGCAAACCCGCTGCACGCAGGCCCTGGAGGCGGCGCGAGGGAGTGGCCCCCTGGCCAGCCCAGGAGGAGGAGGAGGAGGAGGAGGAGGAGGAGGAGGAGGAGGAGGGGGCCGCTGTGCGCACAGCAGGACCCCATGGGCCGACGTGAGGGTTTGTCGAAGCCTGGCTGGTGGTGAAGGCTTTTCAGAGGCCTCATGTCCGAGGCCTGATTTCTAGAGGCCTCCTAGATGGGGTCGGGGGATCGGGCCGCATCGGCGATGCATCGGCGATGCACTGGCGATGCATCGTTGACGTCGGCGATGCGTCGGCGACGTCGACGCGAAGCGAATCGGGCTGCACATCGAGCTGCATCGCCTATGCATCGGCGATGCGGCGCAATCCTCCGACCCCATCAACTCCGACCCCATCTAGGAGGGCTGGAATTTCGCGAATCATATTAAACGTGAAATGAGATCTTGCCGTTCCAGCGTTGCTGTCCAGAGGCTGGGCCAGGGCGCACGGGCGAACGCCCTGTCTGCAGCGCTCCCTTCTGGCTTGAGCCATGCCCGATGTCTGAGGCTTTCCCCAACCAGTCCAACGCCCGGGGGGGTGGGGGCCGATATTGGCCTCAGCCCCAGGACCGTCAAGAGACGGCTCGGGATGGGAAGCCAGGCCGCAATAAGGTGGTTTCGGTGCCTCTGGGGGTCCACGTTGAAAAAGAGTCACGACGTCGGAGGTACGAGACGGATGCTTTCCATTCCAAGCCATGATCCGACCAAAAAGGGGCGGGCCGGTCAAGGCTCGATTAGCTCGCGGCCTCAATGGCGGCAAAGAAAAACAAGCGTGCTTCAGCTTGGTTCATCGGGAGGGGGGATCTACACTCCTCGGTTATTCGATCCGTTTTACTTGTTTAAGGATTCGCCAACGGGCTTCGCACGTCGAGTTGCACGATGCACAGTTACCTTCGCGCCCTCGCGAGACCTTCTGGAAATCCAGTCAAGCCTTTCAGGCGTGAGTAGTTTTCCTCTTCCAACGACCTCCGTCCCCTTCGGGGAAAAGTCTACCCCTCCCCCTACCCACTACCCGTGGACCTGGACGGGGGGGGGGGCGCGATGTGTCAGATGATCTTTGTGGGCCCTGGCGAGAAGGCCAAACTCATTGATTATGCCACACATTTCGGCCGCAAATTGACCTCTTGGGCGGTGTGGGAGGGGGCAACGCTAATTAAGTACGGTCTCTCTTTGATCGATCTTCTCCAAGATGGCCCCAAGATGGCCCCAGAGGCTGACAAAGGTGCCCCAAGACGCCCCCCGAGAGGCTCCCAAGAAACCCCTGAGAGGCCTGAAGATGCCTCCCAGACACCCTAGACGCCCACGAGGCTCCCAGGACCGATAGGCATCCTAGAGGGCCCTGGCCTTTCTGCACGCCCTCCTCCTCCTCCTCCTCTTCCTCCTCCTCTTCCTCCTCTTCTTCCTCCTCCTCCTCCTCCTCCTCCGCCTATTCCTCCTCCTTCCTCCCCCTCCACCTCCCCCTCCCCCTCTCCCTCTCCCTCCCCCTCCCCTCCCCCTCCCCCTCCTCCCTCCTCCTCCCCCCTCCTCCTCTCCTCCTCCTCCTCCTCCTCCTCCTCCTCCTCCTCCTCCTCCTCCTCCTCCTCCTCCTCCTCCTCCTCCTCCTCCTCCTCCTCCTCCTCCTCCTCCTCCTCCTCCTCCTCCTCCTCCTCCTCCTCCTCCTCCTCCTCCTCCTCCTGCTCCTCCCACGATTCCTCCTCGATCCTTCCCCTCTCGGGGTATGACGTCTTACCCAGCCCTGTATTCCACTGCATGCTCCTTCACATCCCTGATCAATGCAACTCGTCTGGACATCGTTTCTGGATGGGCTGGTGGGGTTGCTTTTTTTGTTAGCAGCCGCAGGCGAGAGCGCTGGCGGCGAGTAAGGTCCAAGCGGGCCGCGCGAGCGCCTAATTGACGGGCCAATAGCCTAAGATGGCGGGCCGGCGGGAGGGGGGTGCGGGCTGCAGCTGCCAGGTACCAGGCACAGTGCCAACCAGGAGCGCGCACATGCACGATTAGCCAACCGGAGTTGGGGCGCAGCCAAAATGGCGCGGGAATGGTACCAGGGTGTGGCAGGCCACCACTAGCACACTGCAAGCTACCAGGAGACCATGCTGGCCAGAGACTGGTGCGTAGGGTGGCGCCACCGAAGTCGCACACCGAGACTCCTGAAGGGGATCAGATCCTGCATACAGCCGCCCGTGGAGTGATGCCGGGCCGCCCGCGAAGTAGCCAGGATAACGATGGCAGTAGTTGGCACCGTAGTCGCCTGAACCACCGGATCTGGTGGGGTTGCGCGAAGCGTCTAGACTTGACGAACCTTCATCTCCAGCCGCGAGGCGCGATTGATTCCGCACTCGCGTGGGTATCCCAAACCTTCAACGTCCCGTTTTCCCCCAACGTGGACCCCCCCGGAGGTCTGGACCCGTTCCCTGGGACCCGCCCCGAGCCGGACCTGGGCGGGCCCCCCGGGCACACCGAGAATTGCCCAGCAAGAGTGTTCCTCCGCGATTTAGTCAACGCAAATGAAGGTACCCTGTCCCGCAGAGGTCTGAACCAGAAAAACGATCCCCGCCCCCACAAGGAAAGCCTTGACCTCGTCGGCCGATCTACCCGTTTCAAGAAATCCGCCACCGCGCGCGCAGCGGTGGGAGTGTGTCGGGCCTGTCTTCTTTCAGATCCTTCTTCTTCTGAAGCGCTCAAGTTGAACCCCCCCCAGATGCATCGAACCCAGAGCGCATCCATTTTGAGATCCACATCCCTGCGCCGTTGGCCTCCCCAAAAAATATATGTGCCCAAATACAAAGCAAACGGGCGCACGATCCCACGGACCCTACCACCTGCCCGGCGCTTGCCCGCCCCTCCCTTCCGTCGTTTCCCCACGGCGGCGCTTCTCGGCCCCCTGTCGGTCAAGGTGGTCTCCACCCCGGCCCCAGGCTTCCTCGGAAACTGACGCCGTGCGGCTTGACGGGCGCCCGCAAAGGCGACGATACGCCTCCCAGGACGCCTACGAGAGGCTAAAGAAAGCCAGAGCAGCAATTTTCGCGTTCTCGCCTCGTTCGCCTTCACAACGCCCACGACGACCTCAAACGCCCCGGAACAGTTCCAAGACGGCATAGGAGGCCCCCGCGACGCTCCCGAGAGGCCCCCCAAACGCCCCACAGACGCTGTCGAGAAGCCCGAAGAAGTCGAAGCCCCCAACAAGTCCACACGAAGCTTCACGAGGCCTTCCAGGGCACCCTCAGAAGCCCCAGTCCCCGAGAATCGCTTCAGAAACCCCGCGATACTTCCCGAGAGCCTCCCCGAAAGGCTCCGAAGAGACCCTCGAGAGGCCTGGTGACTGGGCCGACACATGCAGCATGCTACGTCGACAAAGGCTGCCTTTCATGTGGACGCGCACGCGCAGCCCAGGCGCGATGCTACGCGGCTGCTGCTTCGCGTGCAGCGCTGTCGGGCTGCGCCCGAATGCGTTCGGCGCCTCGCGCTTCGCCGATCTTCGCGCTGAAGAGCTCGAACCACGCGTGTTCTGCCATGGCGGCTTCGCGAAGTCCGCGCATCGACTTGTTCTCCCCGCCTCCTTTCCCACCCCGCCGGAAAACGTCATGGGTGGCGCCCGCCCGCACGGATTGCGCTTCAGGCTGGGTCCCGCCCGAGACACGCGCATCGTCGAGCATCGAATGTGCGCGTCTTGCCGAACAACACACTCCTCTAGAATGTGTCACTCAGACGCAGGATCCCTCCTGCGAGCCGATGCAACTCTTCGGTCATTGGACGTCCGAGCATACCCTGCACAACCGCGTCGAGCTCCGCAGGCGAGCGTCTGAGCCGTCCGCCCGCCGCTTCTTCAGGGTCTGGCGGGCGAGCCCTCTTCCAGAGTCTCGTGTCGCAGTTGCAGCACCAAGGTCGGTGAAGGGTGCGGGCCCCGGACGAAAAACCTTCGGCGAGCACGGCCTGGGGATGCTGCCGCTCTCCGCATGGCGCACGCGCGAGGGCGCGAAGCACCCCTTCATCTGCGACTCCGTGTTCGGGATGTCCTCGAAGGCGCTGGCGTCCACGAGGATGCTGTCCGTTTCTCCCAGTCGCCGCGTGCACCGTGGAAAACTGACAATCGGCTCGACGGGGAATCCTCGTCGCACGGTGTCGATGTTCTTCCCTTCGCCTAAGTACCACGACCCAACGCCCAAATTCAGCGGAACCCAATGGGGGTACGCTGGAATCAACCCCACGAACACGTTCCGAGTCGCTACGACCTAACGGGCACGCCGCAACGATGACACTGTACGGTAAGGCAACGGGCCAGGAAGAGAGGCGGAACTGAAGAAAGTGTCTCGGACGCACGCAGGTACCTAGGGCAGAGAAGGCGGGCACTCAATCAGAAGGTGAAGCAGAATGGGGTGGACGGAGAGGAGAGAGGAGACATGGGAGGACTCACCCACCATCCCTCTGTCTTCGGGCCCACACATTTCCTGCAAGCATGGGCCCCAAAAGGATTACAAATCGTATGCTGCAATTCCTGTGGTTCAATGTGTGCGGTGCGAAGCGAATGATTCTATCAGTGTCGTGCAGAAAGTGTGTCGCACAATTCCATGCATGTCATGCCGCTCTGCAGCCTCGCCGGGCCGCAGTCGCAAGCGCGGTGGCGGATGTGCGCGCCAGCGCAGCCGGACAAGTGGGGATGGCTGGCGTCTCCTTCGGGGCTCGCGGCGCCCGTCCCCGTGGACAGGCCCAGACTCCCGACGCCGACGTCGGGATCCCTCCACCGGGACCCGTGGTCGCACACGTACATATTGTTGGACGGTCCCAGGGTCCCAGGGTCCAGCGAGAGCCCCGAGAGGCCGAATATCGCCAAGCACCTCCCGTCGTGTTCCTGTTCGCGGCGCGAGGAGGTCTGGGCTGGGGGATGCCGGGGCGGGTGGGGGGGATGGGAATGCAGACACAAGGAAAGGCGACACCACGTCCACCACCAGCGCGGGGAGCCTTAGAGGTTCCTTCTGGTGGTGTGGTCCCCCCCCTCTCTCACTCGAGACACCCCCTATCCCAGCTCGGGGACCAGACTTGCGATGTCCCTATTTGTTCAACACGGTGCCCCCATTAGTCTCGGCCCCTTCATTCCCCGATGCCCTTTCTTTAGGTCTGAATGCTTTTGTTGACGGTCCCGGGGCCTGGCGAAGGCCCCCAGATTGTGCGCACTCTGGGGGTCAGAACTATTGGATGGGGCGGGCAGGAGGGGAGGCAACAGGGGAAAGCAAGATGGGAGAACAAGGTCAGATTGCTTTGGCGAGCTGCCCCCCGCGGCTACGGTCAATATCAGACTGGTCTGGTGAGTAGTTCCCCGCGGTTGCGGTCAAGACTGTCTTGCGCTGGCGACACGTCCCCCGTCCCCGTTCCCCGTCCAATAGAGAAGGCACAGAGCCCCCAGAGGCCGAGAACTTCCAAAAACCTCCAGTAATGATTTCTGTGACGACGCGAGAAGGTCTGCGTGGTCCTCCTCGCTGGAGGTGCCTCCCCTGGCAGTGCTGGTGTGGCCCTCCCTGCCTCCGAGGACGTGGGCAATATTCATATCAAAGTACACCGCGTCTTGGACTTTCTCGAAAGGGGCCCCAAAAGGCCCAGACGCAGAGGATACGCTCAACAACCGAGCCTCTTAGGGACCAGAGACTTACCAAGGATTCCAAGGAGGCCACCAAGGCCTCCTGAACACCTCTCACGACGCCCCAGAGGGACCGGGACCCACTCACTCACTCACTTAATCACTCATAAGCCATACGCCGTCCGCGCGTGAGCAGGAACACAGACTCAAACAACGACGCGAAATGGAGGGAGAAACACCGCGCCGGCTAAGTGGATCAAGAGGAGGAGGAGGAGGAGGAGGAGGAGGAGGAGGAGGAGGAGGAGGAGGAGGAGGAGGAGGGAGGAGGAGGAGGAGGAGGAGGAGGAGAGGAGGAGGAGAGGAGGAGGAGGAGGAGGAGGGAGGAGGAGGAGGAGGAGGAGAAGGAGGAGGAGGAGGAGGAGGAGGAGGAGGGCCCCAGGAGTCCCAAACTGGAGCGACAAGCTGGGGGCACCTTGGGTCAGGGGCACCTTCAGCAACCCCCAAGGGGGGGTGGTCGAAGCCGGTCACGGGCACTAAATATGGGGATAATATCAGAAGGTCCCAATACCGCTACTCCCTGGACCTCTCCCGGGGTGCGTTCTGACAGAATCTCGAGGCGAATCCAACGGTGGCGACGAGGGCCTCCCAGGAGGCCCCCAAGAGGGGAGAAAACGAAGGGAGGGGTCGCGGTATGATGGGCACCTGGGGCCAGGGGCACCCTTCTAGCAACCCCCAAGCAGAGGCTGGCGCCCAAACGCTCGCCGCCGGCCTCCGGCGCGCCACCGCCGTCGGCCGGCGCCGCCGGCCCACCAGCCGACGGCCCAGCTGGCCACCAGCCGGCCACCAGTCGCTGCTGCTCCAGCATGCTGGCCGCGGCCGCCAGCATGTTGCCGGCCGCCGCGGCCAGCGCGCTGCCGTCCAGGTCCAGCGCGCCTGCTTTGGGAAGGCAGGCACAGACGTGGCCAGGGCGCCGAAAAGAAGGGCCGCTTTGGGCCCAGGATCGCTTCGGTTTTCGGGTCGCGCCGTAACCTGTTTGTGAGCGTTGTCTTATTCGGGCGGAAGGGGGGGGTATAGGGGGGGGTCTGGCTCTGGACATCTGCTCAATGCGACTTTTTGCAGCAGTGCGTCACTGGGGGGGGGGACCCCACCGGCTTGAAACAAGCGCCAAACAAAGCCAAGATCTACTCCACCGGGGGCGGGGGACAGGGGGTGCGAGGGCCCGTGCCGATCGGCAAGTCAAGGAACAAGAACACGATGACCTTAGATTTATGTCGTGGAACCTGTTTGTGGCCTAGGCCTGCCGTGGCCAGAACCGCCCTCTCGTTCCTTGTTGTGCGCAGTATGCGTTCCTCACGATAGAGCGCGATGACTGTGCCGCCGCGGCATGCATCTGGAGGGGGGGCTGGCAGCCTCGCCGCCGCGGAGCAAAATCACGACTGACTGGTTTTGACGACCTTGTACCTCGGGGGGGGGGAAAGAGGAGGGAGGAGGAGGAGAGGAGGAGGAGGAGGAGAGGAGGAAGAGGAGGAGGAGGAGGAGGAGGAGGAGGAGGAGGAGGAGGAAGAGGAGGAGGGGGGGGGGGTCGTGCCCCGCGGACGGTCGAGAAACGAACTGGGGACGAGAAGCCAGCCCGTCCCAGGGAGTGGGCCCAGAGCCTGGACCTCCTTGGGCCCACGCAGGTGGAAGACAGACACGACATCCGCGGTCTGCAGCGGAGTGGATAACATATAGCTGATGGGGGAATAGGGGAACACAAAGTGACATAGACATAAAAACTCGGAGGTCCGCGCGGATTTCTCGGATCGGCGCTGGACCCCCCTCCCTGGCGCGCGGAGCGCGCCAGGGGCGGCACCGGAGGCGTCGCCAGGGGACCCCAGCGCCGATCCGAGAAATCCGCGCGGACCTCCGAGTTTTTATGTTTATGTCACTTTTTGTTCCCCCAGGGAAAGGATCGGGCCGGACGAAGCGGCGGGGGAGGGGGGGAATGGAAAGGGGGGAGACGAAATCTGCCGCCCACGGCTGGTCTCAGCTCCGCCGCCCGGTCCTTTCCTCCATGCACGGCCGTCTCCAGAGCCAGGAGCCAGTCGGTGCCGGGAATACCAAGTGCATGCAGCCGACTCGCTGGCCTCGCTTCTGCTATCCTCCCTCTTTCGTTCGGATCGAGAAGAGGGACCCGGACTCCCTCGTGCCGTGAAACATCACGTCGGACAGACTTTGTCAGTTCCATTTCCCAGGGTCTGGCCAAGCCCCAAGATCATCAGACAACCGACTCGGGAGAAGCCGGGGCCTTGCTGCCTTGAGGTCCAAACTGCGGAGAACAATAACATGGCGGTGGGAGTCTGGGGGGGGTGCAAAGTAGGAAGAGGATTTGGCCGCATCCGGCGATGGAGAGGACGAGGGGCTATATCACCATGGAATTGTTGGCCAGCCGACCAGGCCAATTCACGGAGCTCACCTGCCCCGCCAAATAAACACTGCATCGGCGGGAATCCTCGATGGGATTCTATTTGGCAGAACCCTCGGGTGGCATCACCTCCTTATTCGGAGACGAGTTCGGCGAGCGGCACGGCAACAGCATCTATATATATATATATATATATACAAGACTGCAGTGGCGCTTCGCGCCATGCACCTTGGTCCTTGGTATTTGGTATGCAGGCGGAAATGGCAGGAAGGTCGAGCCGACAATTTAGCGATAACTCCTTGCTGCCTTTTCTGGCATCGCCGTTATAATAATGTTGTTCGTTGTCCTCCCTCCATGCTTATTTTTCCTTATTCTCGCCATACCCTGGGCATTCTCCCCATCCTCTTCAGCTCTTTTTGCGAGGCTCCTCCTTGGAGAGCCTCTGGGGGCCTTACCAAAGTTCTCAGGCTTTCTTGAAGCCTTCTGGAGGCCTCCTGGGTGTGTTCTGGGGGCCTCTGGGCCTTCCTAAGGCCAACCTGCCTCTAACCGCGGCCTCCCTGAACGCCCCAGTCACGATTTGGAATGCTTCGGAGGGTGTCTTGGGGCCATCTTGGGCCGCCATGGTGCTCTCGTAGGGCCATGTTGGACCCCTGTTGTGCCGTTTTGGGGCTCTCCTGGACTGCCTGGAAGCCCTTTCGGATGGTTGTGGGGCGATTTTGGAGCCTCCCAGGCGGCTTCGGACGCCTAGGAGACCGCCGTCTTGGAGCGTCGGGAAGCCGAAAAGAGGAGAACCCCAAATGCACCAAACACCTACATAGAATCGATGATTTTTCCCTCTAGGGGCCTTCTTGGGGGTGCTCTTGGAGGCCTCTTGGTACGTTTTGGAGCGATCTTTCGGGGTATGACGGCTTCTTGGAGCGCTCTTGTGCTGTCTTGGGGGTCTCTGGGACGTCTCGGGTGACTCCCCTGATCGCCCTGGGTGTGCTGCGAAGGCTTGGCAAAACGCCCTGCGAGGCCCCGGGGGACGCTTCGAGGCCCGTCCGGAAGGTCCCAAAGCTGCAGATCCCGGGGGTCCGGTTTTAGGGGGGGGGGAACGGGTTTTCCCCCCGCCCGGGCTTATAAAAATATAGGAAGAGGAATATGTTGTAAATGTGTATACCAGATTAGGAACGTGAAGTCAACCAATCTATCGCACACATTAGCGCACCGACGCATTGCAATGACACGACACCTCCCCCGCTGGGAGAGCTGCAGCCATCGCCCCCTCCCTGCGCTCACTGGCTTGGTGGGCAGGGAGGGGACGCTGGGAAAAAGGATCGGTCCGGCCGTCAGCGGGGCCGACCAGCGCGACGAAGGGAGGAGGATGACACGGGGGGCCGAAATAGAGGAACAAAAAAACGGCACAAACCTAAACGCTTGGCGGTCCGCGCAGGCGCGCAGGTTTCTCGGAGTTGAGCTGGACCCCCCTCCCTGGCGCGCGGGGCGCGCCAGGGGCGGCGCGGGAGGCGCGGCGCAGATCCAAGAGATCAGCGGGGACCCCCAACGTTTATGTTTATGCACTTGTTCCTTCTTCGACTCCTCCTCCTCCTCTGCCTCTTTCTCCTCCTCCTCCTCCTCCTCCTCCTCCTCCTCTACCTCCTCCGCCTCCTCCTCCTGCGCCTCCTCCGCCTTCTCCCCCTCCTCCTCCTTCCCTTCTCGCCTCTCACCCCCCTCCCCGCTCAGGTCTCTTCCGGGGGCGGGCGGACCCGGGTCAGCGCCAACCCAGGCCAGCCGAGGCCGTCGAGAACCCAGGCGCCGGCCACGATGTAGCCACGAGGCTCTGGCTCACCGCGGTTCCCACGCCGGGGTTTGCCATTGGCGCTTGCGTTCGAGGGCGAAGACACAGCAGAAAAAACATAATCGCCTGGAACACCCGCGCCAGTTTCTTGGCTCTGCGCTGCCCCCCCCTGGCGGCGCCTCTGGTGCCGCCCCTGGCGCGCTCCGCGCGCCAAGGAGACGGGCTCAACGCCGATCCAAGCGTGGAGCCCCAAGAATGTATGTTGATGTCGTTGTTTGTTCTTCGCGTCCCCCCCGCTCTCTCTCTCTCTCTCTCTTTATCTCTCTCTCTCTCTCTCTTTCTCTCCAGCGTCGAAACGTCAAATCCGCGTGGAGCCCCAAAACTTGATGTCGGCGCTGTTTCTGTTGAGTTTCACGCCCCGAATGAATTGCAAGTTCTCTGGGACCGAGGGCCGAAATCGAGAACACGGGGCTGGATGGGAAAGCCATGCCTGATCTGGAAAAGTCACAGACCACATCTTTCAGCTGCAGTCCTCGAGCCAGATCGACCTGCGGGGGCCCCGTGGCAGGCATCCATGCGAAGAGCTGCCCGGTGCAAACGAAAAGGCGCCGCCAGGATTAGGTCGGACACGTCCTCCTACAGGCGGATTTTGGGCGAAAAATAGAACATAGTCAAAACACGTTCAAACATATATTAAACGAATAATAAACACATCGTCCCCAGACCATTTTCTACTATTCTGGAATATTCCTCCTGTAGAGGGACACGCCCGGCTTCACGCCAGGATCTCGGGGCAGGACCCGCTTGCTTCATGACGAACCCACTTGTCCTCCCCTCCCCTTGCCATCCCTCGGACGCCCATTCCCCGTGCATGTGTCGGTCTCGCGCGTGTGATTTTGTAAGATGGTCCAAGATGTTCCTCGATGGCCCCCGCCGAGGAACAGGCCGGATATCCCAGGGGCGTGCACCGCACATGCATCCGCCAAGGAGCGTCGTCGAAGACACGGGCGACCGGAGCCCATGGATACATTAATCAAGGAGGGTGCGCCGCTGGTAACCGCAAGCGGGGGTGGGGTGGGACCCCCCCCCCCTTCGTCGATCCGTCGTCGGGGACCACCCCCCCCCTCCCTCCCTTCCCCGATCCGTCGTCGGGGAACCCCCCCCCCCCCCCCTCCCCTTTTCAAAAGGGGGGGGGGGGGGGGGCGACCCCCCCGCCCTCCCCTCCCCTCCTTTGGCCGCCCCCCCCCCCCCCCCCCTCCCCCTCCTCCCCTTTGGCCACGCCGCCCCCTGACTCCGGAACCCGACCCCCGCCACCCCTACCCCTAGTCGTCACCCTAACCCAAACCCCGAATCCTAACCCCAACCACTAACCCAAGCCCCAAAGAGCACTTACTACTCAAAACTCACTACGCAATACCGACTACTCGCTATTCGCTACTCACTTCTCACTACCCCCAACTCACTACTCACGACTCACTATCCACTACTCACTACCTACCACCCACTACCCGCTACTCACTACTCCCTACTCACTATTCCCTCCTCCCTACTCACTACTCACTCCTCACTACCCACTGCTCAATACTCACTACTCACGAAGCACTACTCACTACTCCCTACTCACTACTCACTAATAACTACTCATTACCCACTACCCACTATCCACTACTCACTACTCACTACTTACTGCCCACAAATCGCTACTCACTACCCACTATTCGCTAATCGCTACTCCCTACACAATACTGACTACACAGTACTCAGAACTCACTACTCGCTACCCCCATACTCGCTACTCAATACTCATTACTCACTCCCCCTCACTCCCCGCTACTCACTACTCATTACTCACTACTCCCTACTTACTAGTCACTACATGGTCGCTACTCACTAGTCCCAACTCACTAGTCACGAGTCACTACTCAATACCCACTACTCACTACTCACTAGTCGCTACTCAATACTCACTATTCGTACCCGCTTCTTACTACTCACTGCTCACTACTCCCTACTCTCTACTCCCTACTCAATACTCACTACTCACTAGTCGCTACTCCCTACTCGTTTCTCACTAATCACTACCCACTACTCACTACTGACTACTCTCTACTTACTAGTCCCTACGCCCTATTCGCTCCTCACTACTCGCTACTCGCTACTCCCTACTCGCTACTCACTACTCAGTACCCACTGCCACCACCCACTACTCTGTATTCATCACTACTCACTACTCACAACGCACTACGTACCACTCAGTACTCACTACTCACTATTCACTACTTGCTACTCTCTACTCACTACACACTACTCACTACTCACTACTCACTACTCACTACGCACTACGCACTACGCACTACCCACTACTCATTACTCACTAATCACTACTCGCCACCCACTAATCACTACCCGCTACTCACTACCCACTACTCCTTACTCCATACTCCCTACTCAGTACTCACTACTCGCTACTCGCTAATCACTACTTTCTACTCGCCACGCACTATTCACTTATCAGTACACACTACTCACTATTCACGACTCACTACTCCCCACTCCCTACTCCCTACTCGCCACTCAGTACCCACTACTCACTACCCAATACTCACTACTCACTACGCACTAACTCACTACTCACTACTCACCACTCCCTACTCCCAACTCCGTACTCCCTACACACCTTCTCCGGCGCAGAAAGGAGAAACGAGAGAGGCCCCCCCTCCCCGGCTTCCTTTCCGGCGCAAAGGAGGGGAGGGCGGGGGGTCCGATCCCCCCCCCCCCTTTCCAGCGCCAAGGGGGGAGGGGAGGGGAGGGGGAGGGTTCGGACCACCCCCCCCCCAAGGGGGGAGGGGGGGGGGTTTTGGACCCAGCCCCCCTTTGAAGGGGGGGAGGGGGGGAGGGTTCTGCACCCCCCCCCTTTAGTGTATTCAGGGAGATCCACTGGCGCACTTTCTTAATCAAGGGGCCCAAGGACACGCAAACAAATACATACAAATAACAGGATTCCCCATATATCCCCATATGTTCTGGATGTTCGTCTTCCCCCCCGCTGCCCATATTTTCCCATATTTTCCTGTTAATCGACGACTAATTGTGTCTGTGTTTTTTCCCCCCTGAATTAAAGCGAAGCCAGGGAACCTCTGATATTCGGCGGTTCTGGAGGATGTCTCGGGCGCCGCGACCTTCTCAGAGCGTTCTGGAACGCTCTGAGAGCGGTCTGGAACGCTCTGGAACGGGTAAACCCTCGTCCTAGCCCCGTCCGATACGTGGCGGGCCCTGGAAGCCCTGACCCAAACATGTTGCCATCTCTTGGGGAAGCGCGTCTTCTAACTACTTCCCGCGGCTTCTGGCGGCCTTTCGCTGGCGGAGGCGACCTCGTTTTACATCCGCCGCCCTCCGCCAGCATTCCGCCGAGGAAGAGATGCCAACTCCATAGACCCTCGAAGGCAAGGACCTTTGTGGAGTCCGATGTCTTGACTTTGGGAAATAAGGGGTCCCCGGGAGTCCCGACCCTTTCTTTCCCCGAGGCTGGCGTTTCCTCCTGCAAGTCGTTCTTTGACGGTCCTGGAGCCCGGCGAGGGCCCCCAGAGGCCGAACTCGGCGCGAAACCCTCCGCCTCGACGTTTCCCCCTCCTCTGGAGCTCCGGAAGCACAATCAACCCGTATCAGAAGTGTGCGCGGTAAGGATGCAAGGGCCTTGGAGGCCCATGTAAACGTTTCTCGAACGAGGTTGTCCAGCGAAAGTGGCCAAGGATGATCTGAGGAAGCAAGGATGCAAGGGTACCCTTGGGAAGGTTGCCCCTTCATAAGGCGGGTTGACTGCAGGCCCCTGCCGCAGCCGCCAAGCCCTCTGCGGGCCTACGGACGCCTGCGGCGCGGGCGGCAGCAGCCGCTGGCCCCGCGGGGGCCGGCAGAACAGCGCCGCCAGCGGCCGGCTCGGATCGCGCAGCGCCGCCGCGACGGCGTCGCCGCGGGAGGCCTCTCGGAGGGGCCCGTGCTGCGGGCGTCGGCGGCGAGCGGGGGGAAGGGAGAAGGAGAAGGCCTTCTCGGAAGGCGGCGGGGCTTCTCGGGAGGCCGCTGGCTTTCTGCAAGGTTTCCTGCGTCCTCGGGGAAGGCTCAGACAACTTCTCGGAAGGCCAGGGTGCTCCCCGAGCCCTCTGAGAAGACCCGCCCCCTCCCACTTCTCCACCAGGCTCGCCGCCGAGGGCAGGTGCGGCTGCGGCGCGCACAGGCTGAGCGGCCAGGCATCGAGCTCAAGTCCATCTCGCCAGGGACCAGCAAGGCCAGGGCGGATGCAATCTCAGGGAGGTGCAGGGCAGAAACTGAGGGGCACCTCTCCTCAAGGTCGGCACCGCGAGACGGGTGTGCCAGCCATGAGGGTGGGTGTGTGTTACAAACTGGTGACAAGCGTGCGATGCGGATTAATGCCAGGAAGCTGGAAACAGAACTGGCTGGGTTCACATGTGGAGCATCTGGAAACCACGCGCTGGATACTCGCGCGAAAGCCCAGCCCAACCCTGCCATGGAAGGTCCGAGCGCTTGAGAAACATCTGACCGCATGTGTATCCAACTCTTGCCCAGGCTGGCCGCGCCATGTGTATCCACCCTACTGGTAATTATACACTGCGTGGTGTACAGATTTTCCCCAACATCTCAGGCTCGCGAGTCTACCCCGATATACTCTGCGCGGTGGAGGCTGCGAACGTAGTATCATGGTAAAGTTCCTGCCCTGGGGATTGCTTCCAGCCCCGTAGCTCGTTGGCTCAATTATGCCTCTGCCTCCAGGGGCTGATTTCGGGCCCCGAGAAATCCATCATGGATCCAGGACGAACACTTTCGGCAAGGAAACAATCGAGACCCCTGGGCCCCGCGGATTGAACTGATTCCCGCTCCGAGCGCAAGCAAAACAAGGCTGGGGGCAGATGCCTCACAACGGCTCACGCGGCGACGCTGCCCGACGACCCGGAATCAAATCGATAAGTCGGGTCGGCGATCCAAATGAACAGGATCGGCGGAAATCGACAGCTAAGTCGGGAGGAGCCGAATCGGCGGAAATCGGCAGGCTAAAAATTAAGGATGTCACTGCGAAGCATAAATCCAACTCGGACTGCGAAGCCGGATCGAACGGGAATCGATCGAAATCGAATCGAGTCGGGGGAGTCAAGAGGAGCTCTGCAAGGGTGTCCAGCTCCAGGCTGAGCCGGTGGGCGCCTGGCCCACGCTCCAGGAGGCGGCGCCCGAGGCTCCACGGTGCGGATCCAGCGGGGCGTGGAGCGGAGTGCGTCAGGCCTTCGTCGCAGCTGTCCCCGGCAAGCGATGGGCGAAGGTCCGCGGCCCCATCGACGCCCTGCAGGCCGCGCTTGTTGGACGCGTGGAGCCGCGGACGGCGGCGCTCGGGGTGAGGTGCGGGCGCCAACAGGGCGGCACCGAGCGGCCACTGGTGCAGGCGGACAGCGAGCACTCCTGGGGCTTCAGCGACCAGCCCCCAGAGAGTCCTGAGTTCAATTCAAGCGTTCGGAGCGTCTGGTCCCACAGGCCCTGGCGGGCCATGGAAGCTCGCCTGCCCTGCGGCTCCGAGGAATCCCTTCCCAAGACATGACCCGTAACTTTGATGAGGATAAGCTGCAATACACCGTCCTCTGCGTTGGAGAAGGCTGCCTGTCTGATTATCGCGCGGGAGCTCGGCTGGTCGCGTTTGGGGACGGGTCGGAAGGGAGTCACTCGGACAACCTAAGAAGGAGGTGCTGTGTGAAGCAGCTGTCACCACCGCCCCTGCGGGCGAGGAAGGATGCAGCCTGGGTGCGATGATAGTCGTGCCTCGCAGGGGCCACCGTCAACGCGTGCCGAGGGCCGAACTCCTGGCCCTGCGCGTGGCCTTGGAAAGCACGTCTTGGGGCATGCACCATGTGACGGGCCATGAAGCCATTTTGCGGATCTGGCCGTCACGCAGCGTCCGACGGTCCAAGGCTGCCAACAAGGACCTCTGTAACCGAGCTCGCTTGGCACCCGTGCTGCCGAGAGAACCGACCTGTGGCAGGCCACGGCTGGAGAGCTCGCACGAGGCGCGCCCTGGAGCTGACAGCAAGAGAGCGGAGAGGGAAAAGAGACCCAGCGGTAGACAGGTCAGCTGATAGCAAGAGAGCGGAGAGGGAAAAGAGACCCAGCGGTAGACAGGTCCCCAATCTCGCCTCAGGCTTGCGATGGCGGCAGTGGCTCACTGCCTCCAGAGAATGGGGTGCAAGCGGCAGTGCCAGAACTGCAAGTAAGCGGTGCACCAACGAGACGTGCCCGATTTCTGCGGCACGGGGTGTCAAGGTGTGGTGCAAGTGAGCACCGCTGGGCTCGACTGGTCCCCGTGCGGCCCCTGGGGAGAGCCCAAGCGGTCTTGGCGCGGAGATACACCCGTCTCATGTCAAGGGCTTCTGGGCCAAACATCGGCTGCTCTTCTGCACGTGTTGCGGCCAGTGTGCAACTATGGACTTTCGCCACATGCGTGAGCGAAGTCTGGGTCCAAGCCGCAGAGAGCGGGAAAACCTGCCTAGCATCGGGAAAGGAAAACAGATTCGCGGCGGGATGGACCGCCGCGCGCTGTTCGCGTGGCCCTGCACCTCGGTAAGGTGCAAGACGCCGAGCTCCAGCACGCGAAGCGACGAGCTGAGGCGCGGCCCCAAGAGGCCTCGGACGGGCAAGTCTTGGCGACCGTCGCCGAATGAGTGTGGGATGCGGGGGCCGGGGGCGCTGCTGCAGGGAACCTCAGCAAGCTGATGGAGCGAAGGCCGTGGAGAGTGGCCTGCGCCTCCCCCAGCATCCAGCTTTGCCGCGAGACGCGGCTGCGTCTTTGATGGCGGGCGGCCCATGTCTGCCGCAGGGTTTGTTTGCGATGCCTGTGATCGAGGTGGGCTGCCCATCCATTGTAGGCACACGGTGCGCAAATGAAACATCCTCGTTTCGAATCTCCATACTACCAAGCCATCCTCTCCTCATCCCTCGTTCCCCTGGCCTTCGAGCCGAAGGCGATCGTCGAGCGAGCGCAGACGAGCACGTCGCCCACCGCGATCTCGGGCCGGTCACCTGTCTCGCCGGAACGGCACGCCCGAAGTATGCATCCTCCCCGCTGCCCTCCTCGACCTCCTTCTCGACCCCCTCCTTCAATCCCTCCTGCTCGCAATCCTGCTCCCCCCTCTCGTCCTCCTCCCTGCCCCCTCCCCACGCCGTCCTCCCCCTCCGCCTCTTCAGTTTCCTCCTCCTCCTCCACCACCACCTCCTCCATCTCCTCCGCATGATCTCCCCCTTCTTCCGATCTCCTTCTCCGTATCCTCCTCTCCCTATCCCCCTTTGATCCTGATCAAGCCGTGTGCGCACTCCACGCGTCACGTGCGACGGCCGAGGGGTACAGAAGGGAGTAGGCCCCCCTCTCGGACTGCCCTGCGCCAAACTCCTGCGACTCCGACTCCGCTCCTCTTCCTCCTCTTCCTCCTCCTCCTCCTCCTCCTGCTCCTCCTCCTCCTCCTCCTCCTCATGCTCCCCTCTGCTACTCCTCCACCCCCTCCTTCCTCCTCAAACCCTTCCTCCAGATTTGGATCACGCGAGCGGTGATGTGTCTTCGTCGCTCAGGGCCAATCCAGCGACGAAGCGCGCTGCTGGGGGCGCCGCCGTTGCAGATGACCTCGACTATTGGCGAACGTATCCTGGTGTTTGTGACAATGCAGGCACCAGTCGTGATTCTGCGGCGTGCCAGACTGCTGTCCACAAATGGGGGGCCGCTAACCAAGTCCCAAGTCGTGTTCGAGCCGGACAAGGAGAGCTTCCATATTCTGGACGCCATCTCGCCAGATGGTGAATACTTCAAGATGCGAGGGGTGCTCTGATGCCAGACTGGGTACGCACCATACTGTGTCACAGTTCGTCGCGGAAGGCTCCTGGAGGCTCCCGGCACTAGTTCGAACAAAAAGGCTTTCCTCCCCTGCCGAGATGGTTCGAATATACAGGTGCCACGTGCTGTCGCGCATCGAGGGCGCCACGCCGCCAATTTCTCACGCTGCTGCTGCCGCTCTGCGCCATCTAGACGCATTGCAGGATATGTAGTTCTGCAAGGTGTTGGCTTGACTCCGAAAGAAACATCGCTTGAACAGACTTTGTGTCCAGTCGGATTGCGGCGCGACATCGCCATGGACGGCGCCAACATCTTTGGCCTCGCTGTTTGAGCCGTTCAGAAGCCAATGTGCGTGGTACGGATGCTCCATGTATCCGCAAGGCACTGCATGAACCTACCTAACCTGGCCATGTTCGTATGCTACATCGGCCAATGTATGGCCTGATTCCTGTCATCAATCGTTTGCTCGATGTGATCGCGTTGCCAAGCCAGTCAACAAGTTCCAACGTTCGTTGCAGCAGTTGGCGCAAATATTCTGCCGCGTCTGGCAATCTAGAGCAGTGCCACATGTTCCGCCCAAACTGACGCCGCCGAAACAGTGCAGTCATCGTATGCGCATGACTTAATTGAGGGTTCGTCGTAGAAAAACATGCCAGCTAAAAGCCGGGAAATAGTCTGGGTGGTTGGGTGGAACCAGAAAAACGACAACCCACAGGACAACCATCCCCATCCATCGAACAACCCCTACACGTATCACAATCGATCGGCACCACAATCGATCGATCGACCTGACCATCAGTGCATGTGACGATGTACCGATGTAACTGAAACTCGATATAGATGTCGACCTCACTGTCTATCGATCGGTCGCACCATCGCTCTCGCTGTATGACTATCGACTCCACTATAGTTATATCAATGTCGCATGATCCATCTCTATATGTTGTAAAACTAGATATCGGAAATTGGGGGGTGATATCGCAGTGGATAGGAGACCCCCCACCGGGAAATCGGTTTCGGTTTCGTGATCGTGTCGCGCGCGCAAGCGAGGCGAAGCTGCGCGTGATCCTCGTGTAGCTAGGCCGAAGCAAGAGCGAAAATCCGTTCCCGTCCGCTGGTGGCTGGGAGGTGTCCCAATTGAGCCGGGCGGTGTCCCGGGTGTCACGCGTGTCAATAGGAGCGAAAGCCCGTTCCCGTCCGCTGGTGGCTGGGAGGTGTCCCACTTGGGCCGGGCGGTGTCCCCGGGTGTCACGGTGTCCCGGGTGTCCCCGGCGTTCCGGCGCTGACGCATGTCGCTAATTTCATAATTCATTTTTGTCGCCGCCTGCGGCGGGCTTTCTTATCCAATCCAACTGATCTCATCCAATCTATCTTGTCCAACCCAATCCACCTTATCTTATCCAACCCATATTGCCCCATCTCATATTATCCCACTCAATCCAATCCACCCAACCCAACCCATCAATTCATGTGCTTCTGCGCCTGCGGCGGGCCAATCCAATCCATCTTATAGTATTCAATCCATCTCTTCCAATCCAATCCATATTATCTTATCTAATCCGTACTATCCCATCTAATCCAATCCACCCAACCCAATCCATCAAATCATTTTTGTCGGCGCTTGCGGCGGGCATTCATATCCAATCCAGTTTATATCAATGATTCAATGCATATTTTCCAGTCCAATCCATACTATCTTATCCAACCCGTACTGTCCCATTATATCATATCCCACCCAATCCAATTGTGGTGGAGGGGGTTCTGATAGGGAAGGAGAGAGAAAAAGAGAGAGAGAGAGGGCGAAAGAGAGAGAGAGGGAGACATTCAGAAAGAGAGGGAGAGAGAGAGAGAGCAACAACATATACATATAACCAAAAAAGGAAAGAGACAGAGAACGAGAAATATGATATCAAGGTGACAGGCTGGAGGTCAGGCAGGGCGGGCATTTGATCTCAAGACCCCCCCATCAATCGCCTCATCGCCCGCAGGGCGGTCGTATAGGTACGGATATGTACAAGACTGCATTGGCGTTTCGCGCCATGCACCCTGTTCCGGACGCTTCCCCGGCAAAACAATAAATCATCATTCGCTTCAACATGGGGGACCTCGAGGCCTGGACGGGCGACCGACTCATTTTTCTGATATCCCTGGTGCTTGCTGACACCGCGTTCGCCCGATGCGCTTGCACACTTGAGTGGGGAAGGAAGGATGGTTGTTTCACGCGCAAAGGTGCTGGCAAACGACGACGTACCAAACTGTTGCGATGGCACTTGTCCATGAGCGGGGAACGGGAAGGGAGCAGGGATGAAGCTGGGGCTGAACGGGGCGGAAAGGGGGGAGGAGGCCTGACTCTCTCGATCGAACAATTTAAACATCGAGCCCCAAGCGTGGGACCAGGATCTTCGGGTCAGCTCGATGCACGTCGTAGGAGAACGACGTCTGGGCGTTTGTGGGGCTCTTTGGGGCCGTCCTGGGGACCTGATGGGCCGTCCTGGGCTTGGGCCTTCCTTGGGGAGATGGAGCCCTCCAGAAGTCTTCTGAAGCCATCTAATTAGGGCTCTCTTGGGGAGCTCCAGTGGCCTTCTTGGGGGTCTCCCATGGCTTTCGTGGGTCTCTCTTTGGAGCCATCTGGGGGCATCTTGGGCTTCTTGTGGCCAGTCTCGGGACAACCATCCAGAAAACCATCGGGACAACGGTCGGGACAACCATCGGGACAACCGCTAACACAACCATCTGGACAACTATCTGGACAACCGTCGGGACAACCGTCGGGACAACCGCGGGACACCCGCGGGACAACCGCGGGACAGCCACGGGACAAGCCCACCAACCAACACCGCCAGCCGACGGGGAAGGAACTTATCTGACTTCGCCCTGGCGATGGCGGGATCATTCCTCTCACCCGCGCAAGCAGCTTCGCCTCGCCCGCGCGCACGCCAAGACCACGAAACCGAAACCGATTTCCCGGTGGAGGGTCAGTCCTGCTGCATGTCGACTTCAGTCCCCAACCTCGGATCATAGAGCCCTTCAGCAGAGAGCACAAAAGTGATGAGGCTGGATAGCAACGAGCAGAGGTCACTGAGTTGAGAGTACAGGCCAGAGGGTACTGAGTAGTAAACTGTAGGATGTGGATGCCATCGAGTAGCGAGCAAGGGGCACTTAATCATGGTGAAGCACCCGCTTCGCCATCATTGCATGCCGCTCGCGCCCGCTGCCAGCATGCTGCATTGGCATGTTCCGCAGGCACATCTGCATGCGGGCTCGTCTGGTGTTGCTCCCATCTTCCCCCCATCCTGGAATGAGGGGGAGACGGGGGCAGAGAGCGGGCGGGGGCGGGAGGCAGGCCCGTCCCCCGGGAACGCCTGGCAGGAGTGGCTGGAGAACGCGCAGGGATGCATCAGAGCATGTCGGCAAACGGGCGCGCCCACGTTTAGGGGAAGAAGGAACGCCATCAACATAAACTTCTTGCGCTCCGCGCGGATTGCCTGGATCTGCGCTGGACCTCCTCCCTGGCGCGCGGAGCGCGCCAAGCGCGGCGCTGGAGGCGCCGCCGGCGGGGCCCAGCGCAGATCCAACGAAACGCAGAGCGCAGAAAGTTTGTGCTTGAGGCATTTTTTCTCCTTCGAATGTTGGGAAGTTCACTGCTGCTCCCTGGGGACCGCGGGGCGGGCGGTGGAACGAACCACGGCGTAACACAGGAACTCCCGAAGAGGTCCGCACGGTCTTCTCGGGCCGGCGCGAAGACCCCCCCCCCCCTGAGGAGCGGAGCGCGCTGGGGGGCGGCGGCGGTGGCGCCGCCAGGGGGGCTGGGCGGCATGACGAGACGAGCGGCACAGATCGGGGTGACGGCTCAAACAAAAAACGGTTGTGGAATTGTTCAAAAGATACGTGTCTGCCACTGGGAACGGGTTCTGGAGAGGACGATCAAATAATCTCAATGACGGCGACGCCCAGACGGAGAAGCGCGGCATTTCTCCATCGTCATCCCACGTAACTGCTTTCGCATTCCCCACATCGCCAGACGTCGCGGGGTGGGACTTTGGGTCGGCGTCTGCCCTGGCTATCATCTTGTTTGCTGTCATAGTGTTTTGCTGGCAATGCTGTCCTCTTTGGGCCTTCTTCATGGGCGGCGCTACCCCGAGTCCGCGAGACAGACAGGGGGCAGGGTCTTCGGCGCACCATGGGGCAGACACATCGTGCTGGCGCCCAGGCTGCGGCTGGTGCTCAGACCCCGTCTGCAGACCCCGAAGCAGAAAGCGTGCGCAAAGAGGGGACATTCCTTTTCCTGGGGAGCTCCCCTCATCGAGTCGCCAACAATTCAGACGAATCTGCAGCATACAGCAATCAAGAACTTGCAAGATACAGAAGTGACCGAATTGAAATGCACAACATCGTGACCGAGAGCGGACAGATGAGGAGAAAAAAAAAGAGGAGCAGCTTGGAGAGATACATCGCGTCGACGCCCTCGACTCTGCGGATCGCGTCGACACCCTCGACGGCAGCCCATTCACTTGCGGAGACGGTCCACGGGTAGCCGGGCGCGAACTCCAGTCCCAAGGGGCCGGGCAGGGCCCAGACCACTTCGCAGGTGTCGGCCCCGTTCAACCCGCCAGCCCCACCAAATGCGCTGCAGGGTGCCAACGGCGAGGGCGCAGCGCACCCGCAGATCAGGGCGCTGGGACCGTCAAGTCAAGACCCCCGATGGCACGATTTTTTCACAATGTCGACCCCAACGAGTTTCGACCCATTCCCCAGAACCAGTTTTTCATCCCGAGTCGCTTTTTGACGGTCCCGAGGCCCCGTGAGGGCCCCCAAACGCCGAAAATTGTGAAAAGCTCTCCGTCGTGTTCTGATTCGTGACTCGAGGGGGTCTGATAAAAAAGACTCAGGATGACAAGCAGGCCTCGGGGAAAGAGTCAAGACCCTCCGGGAAGCTGCGCCTTCGGAGGGTGTAACCCCCAGGCGCTGGTTCAACTACAGTCGGACCCACGACAGAAGAACATGCTTCAAATACACGAGACCCTCCGCCGGCCAAAACACACAGAACATCCGAGGGTACCCCCCCCCCCCAGGATGCACAAGAACATCCAACAAACACGAAGAACATTGGGGTATCCTCCCTGAGTCGATCTTAGACCTCGGTCCGACTGTACAGCCATGGAGCGCGGAGTGAGCCCCTCCCTGCTAGGGGAGGGGGAAGGGGAGCGGAGCAGGGCTGGAGAAGGGAGAGGGGGAAAAGAGGGGGGAAGGAGATCCTAAGCAGATCACAAGGAGATTCTCGCAGTAACGATCAAAAGATATTCAGCCCGATTGTGAGGCCATTAAGCCAGATTGGGCCAGATGGGGGCTTAAGCGGGGGACTGCGCGGGATTAGGCGGGAGTGAGCGGAGGAGGCGGCGCGCACCTACGACCTACGATCGCTCGTCCGCCGTCCGCCGTCGCCGTCGTCATCGCCGCCGCCGTCGCCGCTGCCACCACCGCCGCCGCCGCTTCATACGCCGCCGCCGCCGCCGCCGAAGCCGCCGCCGCCACCACCGCCGCCGTCGTCGTCGTCGCCGCCGCCGCCGCCGCCGCCGTCGTCGTCGTCGTCGTCGTCGTCGTCGTCGTCGTCGTCGTCGTCGTCGTCGTCGTCGTAGTCGTAGTCGTCGTCGTCGTCGTCGTCGTCGCCGTCGTCGTCGCCGTCGTCGTCGTCGTCGTCGTCGTCGTCGTCGTCGTCGTCGTCGTCGTCGTCGCTTTGCCGTGGGCGTGCGGTGGCGAAGCCGCTCGGATTCCGCCTCCACGAGGGGCGGCCACGATGCACGCTGGGCTGGCGCCCCCTCCGCCTCGGGCCGCCACGGGCGGGTGGGGAAGGCCCTCCTGGGGAGGCGTCACGCCCTCGCCCACTCTTTCTCCCTCCCTGTATCCCCCCTCCTCCACTCCTCCTCCTCCCTACTCCTCCTCCCCCGGCTCCTCCTCCTCTCCCCCTCTTCCCCGCTCATACCTTCCTCCTGTTCCTCCTCCTGTTCCTCCTTCCCTCCTGCTCCCCCCTCTTCCCCCCCATCCTCCTGGCCCCTTCCCGTGTCAGAATACATAATTTTTTCCCATCGCATGCCCGGACGTGTCAGTTGGGCGGGCTGGGCGTTTCGCCAGGAACTTCCTCGCCACATTGTGATCCGGAAGCTGGAACTGCGCAGCAAATTCAAGAATGGAGGGCAAAGCGTTCTCAAAATGATAGCCAGCGTAGACTCCAAATAGTGCGTTCGAGCGTACTACGCAATGCAAGCTGTGCGGTGCAATCTGGTTGGTGCTACATATCTATGTGAAATTGACTTCTTTGCGAATGACCGTCGTCCACGCTCGCGCAAACATCCGACCCAACCACCCACTGGTTTGCACAACTCATGCGGCGGCGATTGCGATGGCGCATCGCTGCGGCCGCGGTGGCGCGCGCAGGCTCGCGCGCACAGCGGCGAACTTGTCTGGCGCGACCGACGCGGCCGCGGTGGAGCTGACCGCTGGGGAGAACCCAGCGCGTCTCGCAGGACGCGTTGACGCGTGGGCACAGCAGTGCGAGTCGGTGATTCGGGCAGGCGCGGTATCATGGCGACCTCGACACTGGCAAACACAATGATGATAGTCACGACGCTGGTGACGATGAAAACAATGACGACGGCAACGGCAATGACGGCGCCGATGCTGATCACGCCGATGACGCTGACGGTGCCCTCGTGTCATTGATGAAGGCTTTGGGGGGATTTCGACATGCGCGCGCGGTCGACGCGCCCGAGTGGCCCGCATGGTTTTATTAGTTGACAGGGATCGTGCCCACCGAGCACGCGCGCAAACGCGTCACAACGTTTTCGACATGCGCGCGCGAGGGGCACCTGTGGTCACATGTGATGCACATGTTGAAACATACGATGATTCTTTTTAGAATTCGCAAGAGCGCGAGCGCAGTTTTTTTTAACACTCCTGTTGCGAAATTATTGGTTGTTAAAATATTGTCGGGGCACTCGGTTTTGACGTCTGGACGAAGCGGAAGTTTTTTGACAGATGTCTGCATGCGCGCGCGACAATGCGCGCGAGTGCTCTTCGTTCTATGTTGGGCAAAGGGTTCTTGCGACAGCACGCGCGCAAGGGCGCTCGAATGATTTCGACATGCGCGCGCGTGCGAGGGGAACGTTTGGTCGCTTGTGATGAAACAGCGATGATTCTTTTCAGAATTCGCGAGAGCGCGACAGCAGGCTTTCTTGAACAGCTCTCTTGCGAAACCATTGGTATTTAACACAGGTGTCGGGACAAACGGTTTGTAAATCCTTATGCAACCCAAGTTTTTCGAATGCCTTTGGGATGCGCGCGCGACGACGCGTTAGCGTGCACTTCGGCTCCTATTTGCAAAAGACTATTGAACAAATTTCGAAGATGAAGGGGTGCGCGCGCGCTGTAATCCTGCATGGGAATGAGGGGAAATATTTATACCGGTTTGGCTGGGATCATATGAGTTCATATGTCGAATAAACAGTGGGGCAAGGACGTCTGCAAATTGCATATCCCCGGGGGGGGCGGAGAAGTCCGGCTTCGGGACGGTGGTGGATCCGAATTCCTTTTCAGGAAGGAGAATACACGTGGCTCGCGCAAGAATCCCACCCGTCCGCCCGACAATCGGATTGCAAAACCCCTGCGGCGGCGATTGCGACGATTGCGCGGCGCTGGCTGGCGCATCTCTGCGGCCGCAGTGGCGCGCGCAAGCTCCCGCGCAAACGGGCAAGCTAGTTTGGCGCGACCGACGAGGCCGTGGTGGCGCTGACCACAGGAGACTTCCTAGCGAGTCTCGCCGGCCGTGCTGGCGCGCGGGCGCTTCATTGCGGGTCGGGGAAGAGGCGGGCGCGACATCGCGGCGACGTCGACACCGGCAGACACGATGATGATACGAACGACGATGGTGACGAGGATGACGATGACGACGGCAATGACGATGACGGCGCCGGTGTTGGTCACGCCGATGACGATGATGGTGTCGAGGTGTCCGTGATGAAAGTTTGGGAGATTTCGACGTGCGCACGTGGTCGACGATAGCGACTGTCCCACAGTATCATTTGACAGGGGCCGCACCCACCCAGGAAGCGCTCAAACGCGTTCGAACGATCTCGCAAAGCGCGCGCGAAAATTTCGCTTGGTCGGATCCGGTGAAAGCGTTGAGAAGCTATTGCCCCCATCAAAATTAACACGGGCACGCGTGGATCGATGCTTGGAACAACTGTATTGTCAGACAATACGTGTTCTTGGGGGTTTGTGTGTGTGTGTTCAAGAACGTCGATCTTGAATCCCGTACGAAAGCTAGTATTTTGACAACAACCATCTTGGCACGCGCGCGCGACGAAGCTCGCGTGTCGACTTCGTCTCATTACTTGTACAGGATTGTTAGATATGTACGGTTTTGATAAACGATTGCGCGCGCATGGAAGAGTGTGGTTTCGGGGGAAATTCAAAATTAAGATGAACGGTTCGGCAGAATCGCAAAGAAACTCCAACGTCCCGATGGGGCGTATAAAAACAGGGAGAAGGGGGCGGTAAATCCCAATTTTTGCAAATAAGGAATCGACCTCGCTCAATTCCACATCCCACGACATCATCCCACCCTCCCACCTGCAACTTTGTTTGCTAAGCCGCTGCGGCGACGACTACGGTGGCTGTTTGGCATTGGCTGGCGCATGGCCGCGACCGCGCTAGCGAACGCAAGCTCGCGCGCGGGACGGCCAGATTGTTTGGAGCAGCCGACGCGGCCGTGGTTGCGTTGACTGGCGGTAAAGTCCCAGCGTTTCTCGCAAGTCGCGCTGGCGCGCGACCACATCAGGGTCGGTGATTCGGGCGGGAACGGTATCACGGTGACGTCGACAATGGTGGACACGATCATGAAAGTAGCGATGATGGTGACGATGATGATGACGACGACGACGACGGCAAGGCCGATGATGGCGATGATGCTGGCCACGCCGATGACGATGACGATGACAATGCGTCGCGGACGGAGGCCTTGGAAGGAAGCCAAAATGCGCACGCGGCCAACGGGCACGAGCGGCCCGCATTGAACTGTTTGATAGGGGTCGTGCTCCCCCCTTCCCCAGAAACCGCGCATGGGTGTTCGAATGTGTTCAACATGCGCACGCGAAGGGTCCGCGTGGTCGCACTTGATGATACTGTTGAGAAATGGTTTCGTGGGGTTCAACAACACGCGCGCACAGGTTGTGGTTAGTTTTCAGGGACAGCGAAACCACTTGTTTTTTCAGTGTTTGCGGGGGCAGCGATCTTGAAGTCCTTGCGAGACCTAAGGCTTCATACTGATTCCGAAATGCGCGCGCGACGGCGCGCGCACTTGGACTGTGTCTCAGTTTGTCCGAAGAGCTGCTTGACAGTTTATAGAAAGGCTGCGCGAGTACATCCTGTTTTGACAAGCTTGAACGAGCGCAATAACAAAACACCCCGTGAGACGGTATGAATTCATAATTTAGACTGGCCGGCGGGGCAGAAACGCATGCAATGTATAATCCCGTGGAGTGTCGATAACGTTTTGGGGGAGGCCCGCATTTTTTTTACGAAGAGAGAACGTATGGGGCGCAATGGATGCGGCATCAATGTATGTGGTGTCTTCTACGCGGTGCTACCAATGTGGCGCAATTAATTCAATTTCACAAGAGAATTGTCAACTCCACAACACGAGCAATCATCCTACACACCCGCCTACAACTTTCATTGCACAACCCGTGTGATGGCGATGGCTTCTTGGCAAATGGCTGGCTCATCGCTGCGGCCGCGCTAGCGATCGCAGTGTGGCCCAATAGTCTGGCGCGACCGCCGCGGCCGCGGTGGAGTTGACCACTGGGGAGAATCCAGCGCGTCTCACAGGCCGCGCTGACGCGCGGGCACTTCAGTGCGAGTCGGAAACTCGTGCGGGCGCGATATCATGGCGACGTCGACGAGTGTAGTCACGATGATCATAGTAGCGACGCTGGCGAAAACGACGACGGCAAGACCAATGTCGGCGCCGATGCTGGTCACGCCGATTACGACGGTTGTATCCACGTGTTAGATCGTGCTGGTGATGCAGGTTTGGGAAGATTCGCATCGTCAGTAATCAGTTTGGCTTTCTTCCTGGGGGCTGACTGATCATCCCAAGCCCATGTTTCGCGGCCCCAAGGCCTGGCCAGAGCCCTGGGGGGCCGAAAGCGGACAAACATATTCCGTCGCGAGGAGGTTACGGTATGAAACTCTTGCTTAGCGTGTCGCTCCGCTCCGCGGGAGGCTAGGAAAGGCTCGGGACATTGAAGCTTGGGGACTGGGAATTGAACAGCGCGTCGCGCCGCAGCGTGGTGGACCAGAACCGTCGGAGCGACACGCTAAGCCCAACTTCCCAATCGTACCCAGACCCCCGACGTCATGATTTGTTCAGTACGTCGACCCCCGAGGTCTCGACCCATTCCCCGGGACAGCTTCTGCATCCCGAGTTTTTGTTTGACGGTCCCGAGGCCCGATAATGGTCCCTGAAGACCGAGAATCGTGAAAAACCTCTCGTCGTGATATTTTCTCATGACTCGAAAAGGTCTGGGCTTGAGTTATGGGTCCTGGGAACATTCCAAGAGCCATGACGCCAGACCGCCGGAAGGGTGCCCTCCGTTGGCGCAATACGGTGGGGGGCCACAATCGGGAGCCGCCCGAACAGCCCGACCAAGGATAAAGACCATCCGTCAAGAACATGAGACCCTCCGCCTGCCAAAGTGAAGAACCTTCGAGAATACCCCTCCCCAGGATGCACGTGAACACGCAACAAACAAGAATAACACTAAGGTGCCCTCCCCGAGCCGACCTCGATCTTATACCTCGGTCCGACCGTAACCCGTGATTTGGCGGCGCGCACAAGGGAGTGGAGGGAGGGGGGGGAGGGCTTCTCACAAGGAGGCTGCTCCTTAGAAGTCGCCGGCCTCACATTTATAGGTAAGGCCCGCGCCTTCCAAGAAGCAGGGGTGCTTCTAGGGAGCCCTCCCCCCTCCCGCCCCCCCCCCCGCTGCGCGTGGCTGAATACTGCCAGCCGTTGCCACACCCTCCCAGTGGAGGGAGATGTGAGGCCCGCGCCTTCCAAGAAGCAGGGGAGCTTCCAAGACGCCCTCCCCCCTCCCTCCGCCCCCCCCGCTGCGCGTGGCTGAATACTGCCAGCAGTTGGCACACCCTCCCAGTGTCTGGAGCGGCCAAGAGGGGGGTATGTCCAAGAGGGGGGGGGTGCAAATCATGACCGGCGGCATGTGCGCGGCCCAGCGGAGGGGCCAGGGACGTAACGAAATAAGAAGAGGCGCCATGAAATCTGGGGAAATATCATGGCCCACGCCATGATGTCCACCCCCCCCTTGTCATCACCCCCCTCTTTGCCGCCCCCGACAGCGGAGAAGGGGGGGCCAACTTTCGCCCCGTCGCCTGCGGGCTCCGAGGCCCGTGGAGGAGGCCCGGGCCGCCTCCCGCCCGGGAGGCGCGCGCCCGAGCACCAGCACGCGGAGTGCGCCCCCGCGGGAGGCGCGCCGCCCGGCTGGGACGCACGACCCGGACACCCAGACACCCTCGAACGGAACGGGACGCGGAGAAGGAGAATCGATGATCCAGGCTCGACGCTTTCGGAGGAGGAGGAGGAGGAGGAGAAGGAGGAGGGCGAGGAGGGCGAGGAGGGCGAGGAGGAGGACGAGGGGGGCGAGGGAGCTGCCGGAGGAACAACGGTAGAGGGAAACATAATGAGTGAACGCCCCCCCCCCTGCCCCCCAAACTCAAAGTTGGCACGTGCGGGGGAGACTGCGGTCGAGGTGCAGCTCCTCAGACCCACCGCCAGCTTTGAGAATTGTGGGGAGGGGGAGGCGTTCACAGACGGATGCGGCATGAGTGCTCGCTGACTTTTTTCCGAGGCCCGAATCGCGACGGGATGTGTTTCCACCGTTTTCAGCCTCCGGGGGCCCCTGCCGGGCCTCGGGGCCGTCCGGCAACGCCTCCGGGACGAAACACCTGCCCCCGGGCACGGGCCGAGGCCTCGCGGGGGCTCGACAGAATGCAGACATCATGACGTCGGGGGCCTGGGCAGCTCGACACATTGCACCACGCGATCGCGCCCGTGCCCGGCCCCGCACCCCAACCCACCTCCGCGCCCTCGGGAGCGGCCAAAGAGGGGGGTGGCGAAGAGGGGGGAGCAGGTGCTGCGCACAGCTCGCAGAGCTACGCACGCGCGAACGCAGTCGGATACCATCAACGCCCGCTGTCGCGTCACGACTCGCGCCTGCGCCGGCGCCGTGTGGGAATCGGCCATGTGTTCCCAGACGGCGCCGGCACGAATCGTGACGTGACCGGCCCCCTCGCCCCCTCCCCCCCCAGTCACGCCTCTTATCGCCAGGGGATGCAAGAGCGGTCCCTTTCTCCAAGCGGCATGGCTGCACCACGCCCGCCCAGATGCTCGTACTACAGGATGCTTCACAGTGTGCGCGCCGCCCTTGCGGAGGCGGCGCGCACACACCGTACAAGCCCGTCTGAGCATGGCCGAGGCCGCTCCCTGACGGCGACGAATTGTTGCGCCTCGAAGCCCAAGAAGCCTCACCGCACGATCCGACACCGTGCGGTCGTCGGACCTTCGGGGCCCCAGTCGCCCGATGCACACCTCGGAGCACGACCCGAGTCTCAAAACTGTGCGCTCACCCCAAAATCCCCTTGGCCTCACCCGACGGTGCGGTGAGCGCACCGTCCCTGAGATCCGATGTCACGGAACTGACTGTAGCATCGTACAGAATCACAGACCGATCCCTCGACACGCTCTCTGCGGCAATACTCGAGCCAGATCGATCGAGGCTCGAAAACGGCCGACGAAGCAAATGCCACGACGCCCAGATCTCATGGGTTTGGTGGACTTCCGAAAACCTTCAGCAACACCTGGAAAATCGTTCCCCGGACCCCTCCCCGAGTCTCCATCCTGACACCGCCCTCCAAAGCGGATCCAGCCGTGGCGGCGAGCAGCCCCTGGGAGGCTTGGAACAAGGACGAACGAAGAAACGCCAGGGAGGACCGGCTCCGCAATCCGCCCTGCTCCGATTCCGAGATTCACGGGCTCTCCTCCGATGCCGAGATTCGGCGTCGAGCGAGGGGGGGAAGTTAGAGGGAGAAGGCCTTTCCTCAGAAGGCTCCGGAAGTCCCCGAGACTTGGGATATGTATTCTAAGCCTTCCCCGAAGACACAAAAAAAACCTCTCAGAAGCCGGCGGGCTTCTGAGAAGCCGCGCTGCCTTCTGAGAAGGCCTTCTTCGTCTCAGTCCCCCAGCTCGCCTGCCGCCGAGAAACACCCCTGGGCCCCACGCCAGCGCCGGCTTCTCTTCCAGGCCCAGCAGGTCCGCTGCGGGCGCCTGCGACGGGGAGCGCGACTGCAGGGGGGGGGGCCAGACACCCGACGCCATGATTTTTTCGTGATGTCGATCCCCCGAGGTCTCGACCTATTCCCCAGGACCAGTTTTTCATCCTGATTCGTTGTTTGACGGCCCCGAGGCCCGGTAAGGGCCCCCAAAGGCCGAAAATGGCGAAAAACATCCCGTCATGATTTTTTCGGTGCTCGAGGGGGGCTGGGGGACGCGCGCGCGAGGGGCTGACCCCAGAGCCTGGCACGCCGCCTGGTGCAGCGGGGACCCCAGGCGGGCCCGCACGGCGTCCAGGGCCGCCCTCCGAGCCCGGCTGGGCGTCCGAGCCCACTTGGGCGCCGAAGGGGCTCGGGGTCGAGCTCGCTCGCCACCCCTCACTCCTGACTCCTCACTCCTGACTCCTCACTCCTCACTCCTCACTCTTCACTCCTCACTCCTCCTCCTCCTCCTCCTCCTCCTCCTCCTCCTCCTCCTTCTGCTCCCCCTCCTCCCCCTCCTCCCCCTCCTCCTCATCTTCAGCTTGCCACCGCCCCGTCAAAACCGGGCCCGTCCAGCTGCGCAGCTCGGCGGCCGCGCGGACTCGGACGGCCGAGCGGGCTCGGAGGGAGAGCCTGGGGCAGAGGCCACTGCAACGAAGGCGGAGGGTCGCTCCCACGCGCAGCCGAGGGGAGGGTGGCCCTGGGCCATGACGAACGAACAACACACACGCACACCCATACCCATTGGGAGGTCGGAGGGAGAACCCCTGGCTATGGGTATGGGTGCGGGTTGTCGGGCCCCTGGGGAGCCTCCCGTTCGAGCGGGGACCCCCCATCCGACAACACGCACCCATAGCTCATTCCGTCCCCCCTCTGGGTATGGGTGCGTGTTGATCGTTCGGCAGGCCACGCGACGGCGCCTGCGGCGCCTCCAGGCCCAGCAGGTCTGCCGCGGGCGCCTGCCGCGGCAGCGGGCGCCGACCGAAGCCGAATCTGCCCGAGGTAGCCGAGAGGGACTCGACGACGCGGCAGCGGCGCAACATCCGACCGAGCCGAGCCAGATGCCGTCGACTGCGACGCCGAACCGGATGCCAACAGCCGTCCGAACCGACAGAACTGCGGACGCTCTTGCTCCCAAACCTCCGACGTCGAGGTGTTTTCACAGCGTGACCCCCGGAGGTCTGGACCCCTTCCTGGGGACAAGTGTTTCACCCTGAGCCGTGTGCGCCTGCTGTTCGACTGTCCAGGGGCCCGTTGAGGCCCTCAGAGGCAGACGCATGCCGTTGTGATCTTTCTCGCGACGCGAGGAAGTCTGGGGACCTTTAACCAAGATGCTGGACAAGAGCGTAGGGCTGGACTCACACATGGAAAACTCGGAGGCCACGCACCCGGATGCAAACGATGCAGCGGGCCAGCGTAACTCGCTGCAGAAGGACCGAGCGCTGGAAAAAACATCTGGCCATGTGACCGGCTCCGAAAGCCGTGAACCCGTCCAACCTTGTGTTGCTCCTATCGCACTTAAGGACCACACCCCAAAAATCTCGAGCACCCAGAACAACTGTCGACTCAGTGTCGAACAAGTATCGCCTCCCGGGGCTCGACACGTGAAAACCCACAAATGTCGTTGCTTTCTTGGTGCTCGACATTCTCTCTGATGGTCAAGGCTCAAGTAGGTTGGAACATCAGAAGTCTAACCATGCACTTCAGCAGGGGGAAGCAATTGTCAATCCCTTCCCGTGCCCTAGCACTCGACAAAAAAAAGATGTATGAATTCCGGACGAGGGGGGGGCGGAGCCGCCGAGCCATATCGCCAGCACCCACAAGTGGTTAAGTGATTCCTCTGAGTGGTGGGGAAAGACGGAAACGAAGGGGCCCGCAAACTCACACATAAACGGACACAACTCCCAGGATCCCCCATAGTTTTCAATGCTTTCTGCTTGTTCGTCTTACCCCCTACTGTCCATGTTTCCCCATATTTTCCTTGGGAATCGACGATTGCTTGTGTCTGTGTGGATCTTCCCCTCCTGAGGAAAGGAGGGGGGAAAAGGGAGGGACGGACACTCGTGGAAAAACTGCGGGAGGGGGGGGCCAAGGTGGGAGTAAGATGAGTCAGACAGCGCAAGAGGAGCCTCAAGAGCCTCGCAGACGATCCGAAGCCCTGGGCAGCCCTGGGACAAACCAATACACGATAGAACGCCACCTCCCAAAAACATTGGATACGCCCGATAACTATTGAGCACCTTATACACGCCGGTCGGAAGAAGTGGGTGAAAACATGAAGTAGGAAGGCGTTGGAAGCAAATTGGGCTTCTGCCCGCCCCCTGAAGTGGTGGGAAGACGGAAACCAGTCGATCCTTGAAGTGAGAAGTCGCCAAACATTGATTTGGATCTTGGCGTATATCTACTTTCAACGACTGGCGTAAACGGATGCCATCGGCAAACCATCGATGGCACCTCCATCCTCGATCACACTTCCATCGTCGACCCTGAAGACTCGCAGACTCATTAATTACACTCCCCCCTTTGATTCCCCCACTTCCTCGGCTGTGTTGACGGGTTCCCCGTCCCCAGAAAGATCACCCCGATGGCACCGACAGCGTTGTTCCGCACCCCAATTTTGAAATTTTCCAACCCCATCCTCGGCAACTGTGGTGAGAGTTACGTCGTAGATAAGATAAGACAGGGGCTTCCTTCTCACAATGATAATCTCGCTTGAGGTGACTGGGGCCTTGTTGGAATGATGTGATGATCTTGGTGGGATTTCGTATTGAGCGGTCTGGGGGCGGGATACACTTTCCAGGGGCGAGAGGCGATACAGTTTCACCGAATGGGGGGAGGTCGATAGCTGCTTCCGGGGTACCTTCACATCCGCCAAGTCCTGCCAGACTTCCGCCGGCCCCCACTGGCGGACCTGCCTCAAAAATCTACTTCCGCCGGCCTCCGCCGGCGATCCGCCAGCTTCCACCGGCGAAGAAGACGCACCAACTCCGGGACCACTGGGAGGCGAAGGCCCCACCCCCCTGGAGCGCGCCGTGCGCATCCCCCCCTCGCCAAGGCCGACCGCGCCACATCAGATGCTCGTTCTGAGGGCCCTCCTGGAGCCACTCGCTCTGCAGTCGTCGACGCTGCGTCGACCTTGAGTCGGACTAGAGCCGAACTAGACTCGGACTGAGGTCGAACAGATCCGCAAACCAGGTGGGCCCCAGAGCTCCCGACCCCCTGCCCGGGGACAGTGCTCCGCAGGCGCCCCGGTCGACAACACCATGTCGGCTGATCTCCCGCCCACCCCAAAACGCTCAAACTCGGTCCCCGAACCCCTCCCAGGGTGTAGGCTGACCCAGGTGTCGAAGCGGATCTGGCCGTGGCAACGAGAAGCCTCCAGGAGGCCCGACCAGGGCGCAGAACGCCAGGGAGGTCTGCCGAGGTCTCGACTGGCCCTCCTCCGATTCCGAGATCCCCACTGTCGGCTGCGGCAGGCTCGCGTCGTGACGACCCCAGCATTGGTGTCTGACACCGCGTGGATCGTTCAACCTTGAACGATCGGCGGTTCCCCGATCGCGCGATCGTTCCAGATAGGCCGATTCTGGGCCACTGGCGGCATTCAACCTTGAACACCCGCGGCGGGGTCGACGCCGGTCGACACGTCGCGAACCTGCCGTGCACGGGGGGCTGACACAAGGGTGGGGGACCATCGACTCGGAATCGGCGATGCATCGCCGATAAATCTGAAACCAGCCCCCCACGGCGACTCTGCACCTTCGGGGTGGGGTGGGCTGTCGGGCCCCTATCGGCGATCAATGGGCGATTGGGGGCCGATGTATCAACCCATCTCCCCCGATCGTTGCCCCTGAAACCCTATGCCCCAGCTCACGACGTTACGAATTTTCATGTCGCCGACCCCAAAAACCTCAACCGATTCCCGGGACCGGCTCTTCATCCGGGCCGTTTTTCGACGGCCCCGAGGCCCAGAAAGGGCGTCCAGAGGGTGAACATAACGCGAAACGAGCCTTCGTAAATGACCGATTCCCAGGACCAATTCTTCATCCAGGCCGCCGCTTTCGACGGTCCCGAGGCCCAGTGAGGGCTCCCAAAGGGTGAACATAACGAGAACCGAGCCGTCGTAGATTGTTCCTGACTCGAGGGGGTCTGGGTACATGTGTTGATGGGCCTCCACCACCAACATGAGTTGGAGGGGGAGAGGGTCCTCCTCCTCCTCCTCGATCTCCTCCTCCTCCTCCTCCTCCTCCTCCTTCCCCCCTCCAACTTGTGGTGGTGGTGGTGGTGGAAAACAGGCCCATCATGTGTAATCGACGGCTGGGCCCCGGCGCCGGCGCCAGCGGCTCCAGGCCCAGCAGGTCCGCCGCTGGCGCGGGGGCCTCGAGGCCGAGAGCCCGCCGCACCGCGGCCCGCAGCAGCTCCTGCGCGCCACGCCGCAGCACTTGGGGGGGCCGACGGGCGCGGGCTCCAAGGAGCTGGGCACGGACGAGGTGGTCTGCGCCAGGTCGCAGGAGGGCACACCAACAACGTCGCCCTTGCAGAAGCCTCCCATAAATTCGGGGGCGCGCAAACATGGATTAGCGATCCATGGATTTGGCGTGCGGTCGCCAAATCCATGGATTGGTGTAGGTGCCCTCCCCAAAATGCGTCCGGTGCCGCCTCGTCTGGCGGCGGAAATTCGCGATTTCCCATGGAAACGGGACCCGTCGCTCATCCACGCCCCCTTGATCCACGTTTGCGATCGCCTGATCATCATTGGATTGGAATGAAGGCGGTCGGAGGATCACGCCACATCGCCGATGCCACGGCGATGCACCGGCAAAGTCGGCGATGGTGCATGGGGGACGCCGGCGTGAGGGGGAGCGACAGGCGCCGGCTCCGAGGAGCTGGGCAAGGCAAGGCGGTCGCCATACTTCCATGCCTATCACAAACAAGATGGCCCTAGAGCACTCCAAGAGGGCCCCAGGTCGGCCCAGAGAGGCCCACAAGACGGCTTCTGACGGCGTCAGACGGGTCAGGAATGCTCTAAGATGGCCCAGGAGGCCCCCGAGAAGCCCCAGAGGCCCCCAAGAGGCCCAATGAGACCCCCAAGATACTCCCAAAAAACTCCCAGGAAGCTTCACGGATGCCCCAAGAGTGCCCCCAGAGGCTCCCAAGGTGCCCCCTCCCAAGGTGCCCCCTCCTCCTCCTCCTCCTCCTCCTCCTCCTCCTCCTCCTCCTCCTCCTCCTCCTCCCCCGCCATCCTCCCCCAAGTGTTACCCGAAGGGTTTCTACAAGGACTGGGGGAACATATGGCCAGATAAATTGGCAGAGCTCTTGTCACAACGCTCGGCCACATTGGCGACTCCAAAAGGCAGGGGGCGGCGGTGATTCGCCATGGGCATCTTCGATAACACCAGCGTCTCAACATGCGCTGAGGATGCCTACCTGGCCCCGCATGATGTTCTCAGATGCGCCAAGGCAGCGCCGAGACGCACCGACGTGGCTCTGACATAGCCCAGTCTGATACAGAAGGGGCCCGCGGCAGGGGGGCGAAGCCCTGACGGAGATGTACAGATTGCACGTGCGTGCCTTGGCTCAGGCAAACAGATGTGAAGGATGCATGTGTGGTGAGTAAGGTGTGTTACGTGTGTTGTGTGTGATTTGCATGTGGTGTGCTGTGTGCGCTGCGTGTGCTATGTGCGAGTTCTGTGTGTGGTGTGTGCGATGTATGCGTGTTATATGAGTGCTAGTTTTGATATATGTGTGTGTATGCATTGCGTGCATTGCTTGTGTTGGGTGGGTGCTTGGAGTGTCAACTGTGTTGTGTGTGTGTGTGTGCGTGTGTGAGTCCTCCGTGTGCTCTGTGTGCTCTATGCGTTCTGTGTGTGTGTGTGTTCGGTGTGTGTGTGTGTGTGTGGTGTATGTGTGTTGTGCGTGTGGTGTGTTGTGGCTCCCAGAGGCGATGTCGAGAGCTCTTAGGGGGGAACCTGGATAAGGGACCCCCCCCTTTTGATCGATGGCCTCCAAGATGGCCCCAGGAGGCCCTCCGAAGCTCCCAGGAGAGCCCCAAGAGGGCCCCAAGACGCCCAACAGATCCCTAAGAGGACCCCCCAAAAACCTCCAAAGAGCCCCAAGACCTCAAGAGGACCATAAGACCCCCCAAAAAAGGCCCTGTAGCTCCAGGAAGGCCTCCGATGCTCCAAGATAGCCTCCAAAATGGCTCAACACGTTCCTCCCTTCCTCCCCCTCCTCTTTTTGACCGCTCTGTTTCACTATATGCGCCTCTGCTTTCCATTTCCCGTCAGCTCTCGTGGGCAGGGCTTCTGAATGGGCTGGCGGGGACTCGCGAAGCGTGAGCAGTAAAGGGCTCCGACTTCCAGAACAGAACACATCGGTAGTCTCTGAGAGCTGGCGGGTTTGGAGGGCATGTCCAGGCTGCACGCCGCCGGCCCGCCGATCCTGGGGGCGTCCAAGAGAGGGGGGGACGCAAATCATGGCAGGCGGCACGTGCGCGGCCTGGGGATGGGGGGTGGGGCTGGGACGCACCGAAGCCAGAGGAGGCGCCATGGGATCTGGGGATCTCTCGTGGCCCCTGCCATGAGATCCCCCCCAGTCATCACCTCGTGCAGCTCCGCACGGGGGTGACGGAGGTTGGGAGGGCGACTGGCCGCCACTGTTGCGAGCCAGCGAGCGCTCAAAACATGAATCACCAAACCGCCTTCGGGGCCCGAACTACCTATAATCGGTGCGTCTTCATATCAGCCCTGCGACTCCAACGAAGGACCCATGGGGGCCCATCCAGAAGGAAAGAACTTCTGGGGCGCGCCCAGGAACCCAGGGGGTCCGGCCGCGGGGGGGCCCGCGCGAGGGGTCGGGGAGTTGGAACCTACTAGGGAGTTGCACAGGGAGTTGCACGAATGGAATTGCACTAGGGAGTTGCACTGGGGAGTTGTACTAGGGAGATGCACTAGGGACATGTATCAATACTAGGCGGTTGTACTAGGGAGTTGCACTAGGGAGCTGTACTAGTACCTCTTGTTCCAGGGAGTTGTACTAGGGCGCACAGTTCTACAAATTGTAATATGGTCCCACTTGCAATTTAAGATTTGCACGGCAGGACAATGTGCTCTCCACGAACTACTGCGCGCTAGTACATGATAGTACCAGCCGTACTCAAGTACCAGTTGCAATTACGGAAGTCGGAAGGGTTCAGGGGTTCCAATGGCAACTCCCGCGCGGAAGAAAGACAAAAATCCATGCGCCGCCAGGGGTCCCGGGTTCAACGCGTCGCCGCCAAGGCTGACCCCCCCGCGGAAAGAAGAAAACAAATCCGGCCAGGGGGTTGGGGGGGTTCAAGCATGAGTCGCGGGGCTGATGTCTTCACTCCTCTGACTGTGCTTCGAATGTTCTCGATTTCGTTTCCCCCCTCTCTCTTTCTCTCTCTCTCTCTCTCTCTCTCTCTCTCTCTCTCTTTCTCTCTCTTACGCTCGAGTGCTCACACCTGGGCCTGGCGGCGCGCTCAACTTTCGCTCCGCCGCCCCCACGGACGCCAACCCCCATGGGAAGCTGAGGGGGTCGCCCCCCCCCCCCTCCTCTTTGCCGCGTGTTGCCAGAAGTGCCCCCAGCCCACGGTGCCCCCGAGGATTCCCAAGGATCGGCCCCCACGGCCCTCAGAGCACCCCCGCACGAGGCCCAGGGGGGCCCCAGGGGCTCCCCAAAATGGAACGAAAAGCCAAGGGTACCTTGGGCTGGGGGCACCTTTGGCATTAGGTCGGGCGTGTCCCAGCGTGTCCCACTACAGGCGGATTTTGGATGCAAACTTAAAAACGTCAGATACTATTCAAAAGTGATCGAACGTAGTCCACAGATTGCCCCCGAACTATTGTTTATCTATTCTTGAATGCTCCCGACTTCATTTCAGCAGCTCCCGATCTTGGACGCCCCCGAGTGCGTGGACGCGCCGCGGGGCGGCCGGGCTCGCGCTCCTGCGCGGGGGCCGTGGCCGCCGAGCCGCCGCCGCCGGAGCAGAGCCCGGCGAGCTCGTGGAGGTCCTGCGGGGGCGGCGCGCAGCCTCCTCCTCCTCCTCCTCCTCCTCCTCCTCCTCCTCCTCCTCCTCCTCCTCCTCCTCCTCCATCCTTCTCCTCCTCCTCCTCCTCCTCCTCCTCCTCCTCTTCCTCCTCCTCCTCCTCCGCCTCCTCTTCCGCCTCCCCCGCTTTCCCCCCCTCCTTTTCCTCCGCCTCCTCCTCCTCCTCTCCCTCCTCCTCCTCCTCCTCCTCGCGCGTGGCCGAGGCGGGCGCGCAGGTTCATCTCCTCATCGCCGCCATGCACGGCGCAGCTGGAACCTGACTGCGGGAACCGCTGCCTGGGCCCTCTCGGGGCGGATGATTGCACCACGGTGGATGCTGCGAAGCTGATGGTACAGCAGCGTGGCAGTTCCAGGAAAAATTAATGCGGCTGGGGATGGATCAGAGAGACCGAGACGAGCAACGGGGGATGAGGGGAGCGGGGGACACGAGAACTCAACAAGGACAGAGGAGAGCAAAGCGAGACAATATGGACAATACCCGACATGCTCGAGAGAATCAGATGGGCCGTGGCAGCACATGCACGGCTCTACCTGCTGAAAACGACGGGCAGTCGCCCACGCGCCCATGAGCAAACGCAGGACCTGAAACGCGGCCGTGGGAGACATCTGTGCCAACGTCGCTCGAATCTGTGGCCAAGGAAGATTCGTGGCTTCGTCGATCGCTATCGGGAGCCAGCTCGACAGACGCGACGCAAAAGTAAAGATAAGCGTATCGTGATACATGTGTGTAGTTATATCCTGATATAACAGGTTCTGCACTCGGATTTTACGGACGGGCTCAGGGTTGCGGAGGAGGGAACGGACATGGGAGAGAGCAGGGGCAGCAGCAGCAGCAAAACGGGAGCGAAGGACTGGGGTGGAGGTGATAAGTGACGTGCCAATCTGCTGAGGAAAACCTTCCGCTGCCGACTGGAGGAATTCTGCAAATGACGGCTGCAACCAAAAGCGGGGCGACATCCTATTGAGCGCAATCTCTGGAAGGGACAGGGGCCGATCAGCGGCAGCACTAAGCTGGGGGACGAGTGAACTCCAAACAGAAGAGTTGCCGCTCTCATAAGGGTTGCCGCATTCTGGGCTACTAAGCTGGGGACCTTTGGCCCTCCCAAGTGCAGAAGCTGAAACCAACCTTCTCGGGGCAGCGCGCAGAGCGGAGTATGATATCTAAAGAGCGCCACCTCCTCACGGCAAATGGCACTCGGGAGGGGGAGGAATTGAGAGACGTAAGAGGGAACAGAGGTAACACGCACAGGGTAGAGATACAAGATGACACGGAGCGCGGCGCCTGTCAGAGCTAACTCAGGAGTGCGAGACCTCCATTTCGCAATCGGCGCGCGCCAGCTGTGATCGACAGCCGCAGGACCAAGCCACATTCCCAAGTATTTCAGAACACCTTTGATGGGAATATGGGCACAATCTGAAACAAGTTGTGCAATCGCCGCTTGATATTCTGCTCTGAGAGCCGGCGTGCAGGGTCCACTCAGGGGGGCGATGGCGCACTTTTTCAACTTCCGCATCGGCGCAGCGACTCGTTTAGCCGTAGAGAAGATGCGGCGCATGACACGTAGATGCTCCGGCCGACGAAGGGCAGCGCCGACATCATCTGCACAAGCGCGGACCACTCCACGATCTTTCAGGCAGATGGATTTGTCGAAGTTGGACATGAACGGGTCTGCTGACAGCGCGAACAGGCAGCCCGAGCTCGGGCAGCCTTGTATGATGCCACTGCAGATCCAAAAGAGAAGTGTGAGATCAGCGCCGACCGCGCCAAAGCAGCAGACACCAGAAGAAAAATTCTGTGAACTTCACCAGCGGCATCGGCAGCAGCATGGCATTGAGAACTTTCAGAACCCAGCTGTGAGCAAGACTGGGGAAGGCCTGACCAACATCGTATCCCACTAAGAGAGGCATGGCTACGGAGACGTCTTCTTGCATAGAATATATTCTTCCATCTGTGTCCAATTCGATGATGTTGTTGCCGAAGTTTCGAGTCGCGACGAAGCCGCGTTGGATATGATTAACAATTCGATGTAATGATTGATTCAGTCGACGGAATGCCACGCCTGTTGCTATCTTGTTGTCCGTGGTTTTGAGGCCTAGCGGGCGCAGAACAGAAGGGTGTCTGAGAACTCCATGAGGGGTATCTTCGGGCTCTTCTCCTTTGGGTGCGAATACGCCTAGATGCACGTTGCATCCCAGGGGCATGGGGCCCCCTTCCAACTGCCACCAAAGTACATCATATAAGATTTGAGTCCCAAGATCTGAGGCCTGCCAAGCACCATGCGGGAGAGCATCTGGACCTGGACCCGAAGGTGTTTGTTTTATGATGTAGCTTCGCACGTCGTGATACATTGGGGGGGGGGGGAGGGGGGGGGGGGGGGGGTCTCTGAGGTCGGGGGCGTTCTTGAAGCGGGAGAGGTGAACGTCGGCAGCCGTGTCTTCAATCTCTTTTGGAGCGAACGCTGACCCCCAATGTTGAAAAATAGCCCGGGCTACACCAGAGGGAGAAGTCAATGTTTCCGCGTCTGTCCTCGACCCCACAAGGCGAACAGATTTGTCGAAGGGCGCCCGCAGTCTACTGCGCTCAGCGAGTAGACGAGGCTGCTTGCGCACTTTAGCCTGCGAGGCCTGCAAGCCAGCGCTTTGCAGCTGGTCCCGATCACGACGCGGTTCCTCTTCAGCGCCAGCAACTTGAAGTGCATCCAAAGATTCAGCAACAAGGGCGGGCCTGCACAGAGAGATGCGCTGAGTATCTGGATCGATCGATAGATGTTCGCGGGCAAGTTCGCATCGTGATAATCGCTTCGCAAGCTGAAGATCCTGACGCCAAACTGCACGAGCAACATATCGGAGTTGTAGTATCTTACTCGCAACGTTCGTCGGGTCACCTGAGAACATCGCGTCCCTGGCAAACCCGGCGGCTTCTCGCATCACCTCTTTGCACAGGCGCAGGCGGACAGGAGGCGAGCGCAGAGAGAGATCCAGCCTTCCCCAGAACTCTTCCAAGAAACACTGAACATCAGGATGTTTGAATAGCGACTTTGGGATCGGCTGGGAGTCCTTCGGCTGCGGCGGCCGATGCTGCAAAGTGACCTGGAGAGGGGCATGGTCTGAAATGCCCTTCTGCTCTAGCGTCTCGGGGGGGTCCCTCACCTTTGCCGAGACGTGCATCTGAGTGGGAAGCCAACTATGAGCGGCCAAAAACACCCCGTCTATCTTAGGTGCGCGCTGTAGATATCCATTGTAGTGTGTGAACTCATCCGAGGGGGCCTCCAGGAGCTGCTGCGCGAGGGAGTGCCGCGGGGACCTTCTATGCTTTCGCCACTGAGCCAGGGATCTATGGGCATCCATGGTATCTGGGGCAGTGATGACCTAGGTGCTTCAGCCGCTAGATTGAAATCGCCTGCCAGGACGACGTAATATCTATCAGGACGAGGACGTGCGATGTCTATGTGCTGCTGGATAACGAGCTTGGCATATGCGATCTGTCGTGCGTTAAGGCCAAAGTTATGTATATTGAAGTGCATGATGTACGTGTGCTCTGTGTTGTTCTGGCAGGTGCCTAAGTCGAACTCCGTAAGCAGTACTCTCCCAGGAACGATAATCTCAGACTCAGCTCTAGCACCTGAACCAGCCCACGACGAAACCTTCGGGAAGAAGGTGACTACGCCCCCCCTCCTCCTCGTGTCCTCGAAGAAAGCGGCCCGAAACTCAAACTGGCTGTTGGACATGTGGAGACAATCCAAAACGTCATCTTCGCTGCCGCGCGACTCTTGAGTCGCAATGATATTGAAACCTTTTAGGAGCTGGCGTAGGTACTGGAGCTTACTGGTCTTCGTAGCTGGGCCATGATGAAATAGCGCGCGAGCATTCCAAGTGGCGAATGCCAAGCTGGGTGGAATCGAAGCCGTCGAACGAGACGGCAGCCTCACCAACTTGAAAGTTCTGTTAAAGGCCCCACTCTTCAGCAGCGTCGGGGGCAGTGAAGACCTGGCCCAGCGCTGCGGCCACCTGGGCCTTGTCCAAGCCGAGGGCGTCGAGCGCCTTCTGGTCGTACTCAATGATGGGCATGTCATTCTGGCGCGGGGTGACCTTGACGAAAGCACGCCACTGAGATGATACCCTTCCCTTGTTGCGATCAGCGAAGAAGGTGCGGTCGGGGTAGAGGTCAGCGAGCTTCTATTTAATCTTTTTGAGATCGAGTTCGCGGCAAATCTGAGCAAAGTTTTTGTCTGCTGATACGAACATGTCCACGTTCTGGCGCTGGGCGGAGAAGGCGGTGAACCTGCGGAAGCTGCCATCTGGGCGCTTGATGTTGCCGAGGGCCTGCGAGACCACGCGCGCAGCCCAACCAGGGGCTCCTTTAATTTTGACTGTGAAACGGCGATCCGCTGGGTCTCCTCCCACTGACCAAGAGCCCTCTTCGAAGTTGGATGCCGAAAGCCACTCTGCCAGTCCTTGACATACCGCTTCTTTGGCCACCAGTGAAGCAGTGCGGACGACGAGGGTGGTGGGGTCGGTCTTCCTGTGGAACGCGGCGCTCGGGGGTACCGATGGGGGCGTGTCAGTACGGACAGCATTGAGTAATCCTTTTTAAGCTCATTAATATCAGCCTGCATGGTGTCCAGCTTGTCATCGTGGGCATCCAAACGGCGCTCTGTGGCACCGATGCGGGTCTCGACAGTCTTCTCCACGCTCTCGCAGTGCTGCGTGAAGGTCTTGGTAAGCTGGGACAAGCCGGTCTGCATCTGAGCGATCTGGGCGAGCACATTGGATTTGGTGACGTCAACATATGCTTCGAGGGCGGCAACTCAGAGGGGTCGTCGGGAGACGGTCCAAATAATTCGGCATCATCGGGGCCTTGCAGAGGTACCTCACCGACTGGGCCACCAGCAGCAGGAGCAGCAGCCAGCGGTGCAGATGAAGCAGACCCTTTACCTTCCTTACCACACTTGGTGCCTTCCGTTCTGGGGGCTTGCGCAGGGCGTTCAGCAGCAGGTGCGGGGCGACGGGAAGCGCTAGACCGATCAGCAGCGGCTCCAGAAGGACGAGCAGGCGGCGCCTCAGGCATGGTTGCGGCAGCGTGTCTGGAACTAGCGTCGTGTCTGCGGGGGCAAAGGGGGCTGGCCAGCCGCAGAGGACATGTAGAAGAGAGAAGTCCGCCTGCGCACGACACGCAGGAAAGCTCAAAGCGCAGAGCTGCCCGCTCGCATGGGACCTGTTCCCACTTGAGCCAAAATGGCAACGGATCTCCTCCTCCTCCTCCTCCTCCTCCTCCCGCTCCCCCTCCCTCCCTTCCTCCTCCTCCTCCTCTCCTCCATTCCTTTTCTATCTAAGCAGCTTCTCCCTGTCGCACCCGGAGGCCAGTTGTTAGGGCGGTCTGGGCGTTTCGCCCGAGACTTTCTCACCATTTCTGACCCTGACGTGCGAACTTGACCACAGTTTCAACGATGGAGGGCGGGTCGTTTTCAAGATGTGGTTCTCGCCTTAGCGCCGCGCAAAGTCGTTCTAAACATTGCAACGGTGTCGCGGATTCAGGGCGGGTAAGTTTCAAAATGTGGCTCTCGCCTGGGCGCCGAGCACATCCTTTTAAAAGGTTGCAAGAGTTTCACAGATTGAGGCCGGGGGTTTTCAAAATGTGGCTCTCGCCTTAGCGCCGCGCACATTCGTTGTGTAAGCTTGCACGGGTTTCACGGATTCCCATGATCAGCGTACAAGAAGTGGCGTTCTGGAAGGATTCAGGATTATGAGGGTGCAACAATTACGTGCGTTGATTCGCGGCGTTGAAGTCCTAGGAATGGCGTTCTGGCAAAAATCAAGATCGTCAAGACGCAGTCAGGTTAATCCGTGGCGCTGGAACCCCGAGAAAGACGTTATGGCATCCATCAAGGTCATCAAACGGTTGTCTTCCAACGAGGCAGTTCCCTCAGTGGAGATCAACCTTTGTATGGGGCCTATGAAAAAATGAGCTTGGAGGGAGGGTTTATTCCAACATCGTTGATGACTCTTGGGTCTACACTGATTCTCCTCCTCCCCACCTCTCCCACTCCCCCTCCTCCTTTGCCTCCTCCCCCTCCACCCCCTCCTCCTCCCCCTCCCCCTCCTCCTCCTCTTTCCCCTCGCGTCTTGAAAAGATGCGGACGGGAGGGTTTCGGCAGTGTTCGGCCTCGGGGGCCCTCACCAGGCCCAGGGGCCGTCCAAGAACGGCTCAGGGTAGAAGTCGGTCCTGGGGAAAGGATCGGGGCTTCAGGGGACCGCGTACTCAAAAGGAAAGATTACATGACTGTGTCTTAGTTATTCAATCTCTCACTGTTTCCTCTACTTCGGCCTCGGGGGGCAGTTTTCGGGCCCAGAGGCCATCACAAACAGACCCTGGGCGAGACACTGCGCCCAGGCAAGGGGGGTCGGGAGGTCTGGGGGGGGGGCGCGAATCGAAATAATCATTGATCGTCGGATGTCTGGGGGGTGCTCGAGGGAGTGCTCGTCCCAGATCTCCGCGCGTCGCGAACAATATGACGAACGACTGTTGGCCATTCTCGGCTTCGGAGGGCCCTCGCTGGGCTCGGGAGCATTCAAAGACGCAGATGTCTCCTGGCACAACTCAGGAAATTGCAGTCGTGGGTGGTAATCTAACCCAGTCTCAGCTATCTCTGGGTGGAATCTGTTTGCAGTGTCCTGGTCCCTGGGGCCCTGCAAGACGACTCGGGATGAAACACCGGTCCCCGCGAAAAGGTGTCGAGACCTCTCCCCCCCCGGACGAAGCGGGGAGGGTCCCGCCTCATCGAAGCCGAGACCGAGGAGAGCTGGGCCCACTCCACTTCTCGGGCACGCGTCCTCTTCCCAAGAGGTCCGATGTTCCGATGTCTTGCTTTTTCCGATGCGGGGTCCACGTAAGTCCAGAGCCCTCCCACCCGAGAAACAGGGGGTACCCCCCCCAAGGAGGGTGGGGGCCATGAGGCGCCCCCCTCTCACTTCTCCTTTCGCTAGAATCCCGAGGGCCAATGATAACGACGACGACGACGACAAAGACAAAGACGACGACAAAGACGACGACGACGACGACGACGACGACGACGACGACGACGACGACTCATCCTGAGTCGTTTCTGGATGGCCCTAGGGTCTGGCGAGGGCCGCCAGGGGCCGAAAACGGCGGCCTCGATCGAGGCTCGGCCCTCGGCGGCCTCAGGCTGGCCCGCCGCCAGGGCCAGCAGGAGAACGACGAGACCCAGTCTGAAATCTGAGGCGAGCTCCCGCTGCGACCGTCCCACGGAAACTGGCCCGTCAAAACTCTCAGGACCGGCCCGTCAACAAGAAAACCGTCGGCGAGCAGGAGCTCTGGCGAGCTCGAGCCTCACGCTCTCTCCCGACCCGAGGCAGCAGCGGGGGCGAGGGAGGAGGAGGACGCACTGATCCGGGCCAATCCAGACCAAGGTCAGTCAGGCTCTGCAGGATCGGCAACATCCTGCAGGAGCCTGCGCCCAGACCCAGGTCGGTGCACCCCTGGCTCTCCAGCATCCTGCAAGGTCCGGCGCTCTGGCTGACCCCTGTTTGCAATTGACCCCGTCTCAAGGCTCCCGAGGGAGGACGAGGAGGGGGAGGAGGAGGAGGAGGAGGAGGAGGAGGAGGACTGGGGCCACGGGCGGGCGCCGGCAGGCGTGTCCTGCGGGGCGGCGGCGCCGCAGTGGACGCAGTGCAGCGGGGCGAGGCCGCCCGTGCCTGCCCCGCGCGAAGAGTGCGGGGGGCCATCTGCTTCCGCTGGCGGCCTCGTGCGACCATCGGGCACTCTGAGCACAGGGGAGGCCAATCAATCAATCAATAACGCCGTGTCTGCACGACACATCGGCTGAAGAAGTGCCGCCGGCTGGAGGCGCATGTCCAGACCAGGGCACAGAAGTCAAGGACAGTTCAGGAGAAGGCGTACTGGCTGGCGATTGTCCTCCACACGTGCGGGTTATAGCGTCCAGGACTGAGAAATTGAAACGAATCGCTCTCCTGAGGGGCAGGGGCGGGGAGAGGGAGGGCAAGAGGGGGGGGAGAGGACGAGGAGGGGGGGGAGAGACCCCTGATCTCCACAAGAGACCTTCCACAAGAAACAAACTCAACCCTGAGACCCCAAGACGCGTGCTGACATTTTTGGTGTGGGAACGTCACCCCTTCCACAGCATAACCATCGAAACCCAAGAAACCTAGGGCACCCTGGAGGCAAGTAAGGTGTTTCTGAGGAGAGCTCAGAATCGAATCGATAAGTCGGATCGGCGATCGGAATGAACCGAATCGGCGGAAATCGGGAGCCAAATCGGGAAAGTCGAATCGGCAGAAATCGGCAAGTTACTAGGCTTCCGTTGAGAGATCGGAATCCAAATCGGAATTCGAAGCCGAATCGAATCGGAATCGGAAGCCATCGACATGGACTCGAATCGGAGGAAACGAGACGAGCCCTGCAAGACCATCGAAAGCCGAGAAACCCAGGGCACCCTGGACGCAAGCAGAGTGCTTCTTGGCGTAGGTCCCCACTGTGAGGCACGAAGGGGCACTTCCGGCCACGGCGCGCCCCGGTGCCCCCAGGAGGGGGGCCCAGAGAGGCCCCCAGAGCAACCCCAAGATGGCCCCAAGAGGCCAAAGCGTCGTCGTCGTCGTCGTCGTCGTCGTCGTCGTCGTCGTCCTTCAGGGTCCGCGGCACCAGCCGCAAGGCCTTCGCAGTAAGCTTCCCGACCTGGCTCCAACGAACGGCCCGAAAGCCAGGGCCCCAGCTGAGCCAAGAGGAGGGCTCTTCTTGCCGTCGCCCCGACGTCCAGTCCCCGGGCACGCTTCTTCGTGCGCACGTCTTTCCGCAAGAGGACCCAGGACGCGCCTCGATGGACCGCGCGGAGGAAGCAACGACGCGCGCACGTGCGCGAGCGCTGCCAGGCGGGGCACCCACGAGGCGCTCACGACCGACCGCGGGCCGGCGCCAGGCGAAGCCCTGGCGGATGCCCCCCCCCCGCCCGCTGCGCGCGGGGCGCCCGAGGCGCCCCGCGCGCACGCGAGGCCCCGGCGGGCCCCCCCAGCGCACGGGGCGCCCGCGAGGCGCCGACGCGCGGCCGCGGGCGGGCACGCTCAGTTCCCGAAGTCCGCCGGAGTGCCCCATGCTGGCACCGGCAACTGGGGCCACGGAAGGTGTCAGCCCTGGCCCTGCAGCCCGAGCATCGGCCCTCCGTCCGATCCGACGCGGACGAACGAAACAGACGAGCCCTCGAGGGCGCCCCGTGCAAGCTTGAACGGCACCTCTTGAACAGCATGACGGTCATGAGGACACCCGTCTGAAAACCAGGGTTGCTCTCAACTCTCGTACCGACTGGTCACCAGAGGAAAGATGTCGAACACTTAGAAATTAAAATGACAATTTGGATGACTGCAAACTCGTTCGTTACCCAATGCATAATGCAAACCGCGACGCGATTCAGCCTGGTTCCGCTGAGTGCGAATTCACATCCACCAGCGTATGCCTTGGCAACTCCTCGCAATCCTTCATAGTCCTTGCATTGCAAAGGTACCCCGTCATGACCGCCGCTCTGCGACCGCTGCGACCGCCCATCTTCGTGCTACCACCCTTGCTAGTTCGGAGCGAACCACGCACCACGCACCCCGCTGACACCTAGCCCCGTCAGGTGAGCCCTTCGTCGACATAGCAACCCCTTCACGTCCACACTCCACACTCCTGTTCGCACCTTCCTCAACCATGGGGCCACGCCCTCTTCGACCTGCTGCACATCCACGCCGCAATTGGGCCTCTTGCCCTGCGCAAGTCTGGAAATCGAGCCCTGTTGACCTCGCCAACCTGGGCGTGCGTCGTTAGGCATGAACCGAACTGGTCTTGAGGGAAACGGGCCCTGGACCCTGGGGCCTTCCCCTGGGACCAGCTCTTCATCCCGATTCGTTTGCTGACAGCCCCAGGGCCCGCGGGGCCCCCCATGAGGCCGACAGCGCCACGCTCGCTGGCGCTGCCGCGGCAGCGCCCGCCGTGCACGTGGCCGCAGCAGGTGGAGCGCCCCCGGACGCCGCATGCATCCGCCTCGGCCCAGTCGGCGCCCGTCGCTCTGACAACCGCGAACTGCTGAGTTTGCCGTCGCACGCCGGGTACGACGCGGCCATCCACGGTCACGAACTTTTGCATAGCGTGGCGCGGCGGCGGCCTCGGCGACACTCGATGCCCTGCGAGCGGATGGCGTGTGGCTCCGCTCCGCTCCGCGGGCCGGGAAGCTTGGAAAAGACTCGGGACGTTGACGCGAGGGGACCTGGAAATTGATGGCGTGTCGCGCCAAAGCGTGGTGGGCCAGGACCAGTGGAGCGACACGTTAAGCCAAAGTCCCGGACCGTATGGGCGGGGCACACCGACTACGCAGTCTTGGCTGCGATGCCGCAGGTGTTCGTGTACCTGGTGCCACAGGCTAGCCAATGCCACCACGGGAATACACGACCTCCGACCTCCTCCGTCCGGTTCCCGCACGCGCTCCACTCGATCTACCGAGGTCGCCGCAAACGAGGCGCCCAGCTGGTTCAGAGAGCAGCTGGTGCCGCAGGTGTTCGTGTACCTGGTGCCACAGGCTAGCCAATGCCACCACGGGAATACACGACCTCCGACCTCCTCCGTCCGGTTCCCGCACGCGCTCCACTCGATCTACCGAGGTCGCCGCAAACGAGGCGCCCAGCTGGTTCAGAGAGCAGCTGGTGTAGCCCACAGGCTTCTGAAGGGCCTGCGAGGATCTCGCCGCTGCACATCTGACAGGTCGCTGGATGCAAAGCACTGTACGTCTCAGCGAACGCCACCGTAATGAGCTCGCCCGCAGCGTCGGGAGGAAAATGGTACATATGAGCGCGGCGTGGTTTAGAATCTGCTACAACCCTCGTCAAAATTAACCTCAAACATGTCTTACGTGGCTGAACTGCTTGTAAGGAGACACTGGGCAGAGTGGCGGTGACTGCGAGGTATGCGCCGCCCCTTCAATGTCGGTCATCACCGAACTTCCGAGTCGTTCCCGGTCAGACCACTTTTGCCCTGGCCCCGACATTGGAGGGGCGTCTATCGACATTGAAGGGCGCGCCGACATCGCAGGGGCGTGGTCGCCATTTTTGAGGTTCATTTTGACGAGGGTAGTAGGACAGATGTCAGAGCAGCGCTAGGTATGCAAATCATTCCTCGAGTGGGCGAACATCTTCTGTGACTTTGCGGCCTTCCACCCGTGCGAGGGCGCGAGGAAGGGTGGGATATTTGGGTCCGCCTTGTCGCCGCCCCCACTGAGGAAGAATCCACTGCCACTCTGGCCCTGGTCGCTTCTCTTCGATGAATAGATCAGCATCGAATCGGGAAATCGGACCGAACCAAAATGTTTGTCGGATGGGGCTGCATAGACACGGAATCACAATCGAATCGAATCGGCCGCGCCTAGATGCACAACAACGGGTCGCATCCGATCGTCGGCGTATCGGAATCGAATCGGCTCAAGACGCCCAACATCGATATCGAAGCGGATCGATCGCATCGAAACGGACCGTGCCTTGTCGTCGCAAAATCAGCGTCTCCTCCACGCGTGCCTTCTTGCTTTCCATGTCCAGTCGCGACCGCGGCTGCCCCACTGCTTTGGTTCAACTCTCCACTGTCCGCCCTCCCAGCCCCATCCTCCTCATCCCCCTATCCCGTGCTGCCGCCTGCTGATGCTAGCGCCTCGGCCAACTCACCCGTCCCTGGTCTGGTCCCTGCCCCCTGTCCTCCATCTTGCCACTGGCGGCACGGGCGCTTGCAGTGGGCGCCTGTGCAGCGACCGTGGACGAGGGCCCCGATGGCCCGATATGGCCCTCAATCGAGGCCGTGGGCAGGTGCTTGGCCCACTGTGACGGGGGTCGTGGGCCACCCAGATGGCGTAGAGAACAACTCGGGTCGCCGCACGTCCCGGCGCACAGTCCGCGAGTTGCGAATCTGGAAAGGCGGCGCAATTACCACTGGCGCGAGCCGCCAGGGAGGGTCCTCCCGGTGGCGTAGTCACCCGCCTCTCGCTCGAGACACCCCTGGTCTCCAGCTCGGGAGGCATCGTGGACCCCTCTCTGGAGGTGGAAATCCCTGGTGGTGGTGGTGCCGCCTCTCTCCATCCCCCGACCCAGTCACGCGGGCAGGGATGCCGGCAGGAAACCTCCCTCGGCTGGACCCTCGTGCCCCCCTGGGGACAGATACCCAGATATCGCGAAACTAATGGTAGGCTTGTTTTCCACCGCCACCGCCATAAGTAGGAGGGGGAGGGGGTCCTCCTCCTCCTCCTCCTCCTCTTCTTCCTCTTCCTCATCATCCCTCACCTTCTTCCCCCCCTCCAACTTATGGTGGTGGTGCTGGTGGAAAACAGGCCCATCAACTAAAACTGCATCAACCTAAACTGTTGGAGGTCCGCGCGGACCCCCAGTATCTGCGCTGGAGTCCCCTCCATGGCGCGCGGAGCCCGCCAGGGACGGCGCCGAAGGCGCCGCTAAGGGGGCCCTAGCGCAGATCCAGGAAATCCGCGCGGAGCTCCGAACGTTTCATGTTTGAGATTCTCTTCGAAGGAAACCTGCCTCGGTTGAATAGCCATTGAGCATCGTTTAACCGATCCCCATCCCCACCAGCGTGGGCTGGGTCCCCCTGGCCGACTGACCCCCCTGGATGGGGATATGGGCTGCTCTCTTCGGGTTCCGAGAGGCATATCCCCAACTGAGGTGGTGAGACGGCGGGGCCCGAGATGTGGATGGGGACGGGGATAGGGATCGGTGAAACGATAGTGACCATCCATGCTCTTGGAATTCTCTCCGAAAGCAACCTGCCTCGGTTGAACAGCCGTGCTTCCCCGTGGACGGATGCCGCGCAGCCGCAGCGAGAGACACCGCCGACCCGGGAGCAGCGGCCTCGCAGCTGCTCCGCCAGCGCCGCGGTGGGCAAGGGGCGGGCCGTGAACAGCAGCAGCACGGAGGCCTCCTCCAGGCGGTGGCTACATGAACGCCTCCCCCTTTCGACGAATCCCGTCCTCCTCCTCCTCCTCCTCCTACTCCTCCTCCTCCTCCTCCTCCTCCTCCTCCTCATCATCATCATCACCATCATGAGCAGCATCAGCATCAGCATCAGCATCAACATCAGCATCAGCACCAGCATCATAATCAGCATCATCATCAACATCATCATCAGCATCATCATCATCACCATCATCAGCAGCAGCATAATCCTCATCATCAGCATCACCATCATCATCATCATCATCATCATCATCATCACCATCATTATCATCATCACCATTATTCGTATAATAATGTTCATTCTTATAGTGACCATTCTTATTCATATGATTGGTATTAATATTTTCAGTGTTATTATTATCATTGCTATATTTATGTTCTACGAATCCCGTCCTCTTCTCCCTGTCCCTGCCATCCGTCATCTGGCACGCTTGAGATGGCTGCGGGGAAAAACGGGTACGATGCCGAGCAACAACTAATGCCCAAAGCCGACAGCTTCCGCTGTTGGACAAGCGACTTATTGTCTCAAGTGGACAACGTCCGCGGCGGCAGCGACAGCGAGTCCGGATCAAGTGGGCAGTTATTCGTCACTATTTTCTTGTTACTCAGTTCGATCCTCCAGGGTCCCCTTCCCTCACTCTCTTCGCCTCGCCGTCTTGCCAGCCGATCCACATGCTGGCCGTGCTGGGGAAGGTAGGGGAGGGAGTTCGGGGATCGACGGAAATGAGGACGAGGGCGGGGAGGTGCTGGATATCCATAGGAAGAAAACAGAAACCTTCCAAAACGGCTAAATCGAGCCCCCCCAGGCCTTTCTAAGAAGGCGCCTGCCTTCCAGGAAGCCCCACGCCTTCCTCGAGCCCTTCCCCCCCGCGTCACCCCTCTGCGCGCGCCGCACACATCTGATGAAAGACGCCGAGCCGACGGTGACTGGGGCACACCGCGAGGGAGCAACATGGAAATTCCTCAGGGGCGGTGCGGGCCCAGAATCGCCGACGCCGTCTCGCCCGCTCTCTGCACTCCTCGTGCCACCAGAAGGAGTGCTGTCCGACCAGCGAAGGGACGTTCCTGGCCACGTCAAGACTGGACCACTAAGAGGTTCCCAAACCTAGATCTAAGGTTAGGTCGGGAGTGTCCTCCTGCAGGGGAAAGTGGACGAAAAATGAAGCCAGACTCGACCGTCGGCGTGTGTGAGGGGCTCCTCCGTTCAAGTCGTCGTCTCCGTCATTCATTGGTCGTCGTCTCTGTCGTCCCCTTTCCCTGCCTCCCCCCTTTCCCTGGGCTCGTCGAAGCTCCCCCCTTTCCCAGGGACCTCCTCAGCGCGCCAGCCAAAGCAAAGTTGAGCAACGTCGTAATTGAGTCGAAAGGAAGCCCCTTCCCTTCGATCCCTCCCCCGCCGGGGAGGTGGGGGTGCCCGGGGGGGGTCCCAAGGGGGAGGTCCCGGGGGAGGTCCCGGGGGGGGGGTCAAATACGACGCCCCCCCTGGGAGTCCCGGAGCCCAGAAAAGCCCCAAGACGGGCCAAGAGTGCCCCGAGAGGCCCCAAAGACCTAAGACAGTCCAAGAGAACCCCGAATCGTCGAACGATCTGTCCAAGATGCCTTGACGGCCTCCAGACGGCCCAAGAGGCCTGCAAAGCGCCCCAAGAGGCCTCCAGGAGCTTTCCCACGAGAGCCCCAAAAGGCACAATTCATGGGCTTCCCATACGTTTTTGAAAAGTTTCGGCGTTCTTGCCTCTTCCGCTTCCCGACGCGCCAAGACCGCCCAAGAGGCCCCCAAGATCGCCCCGAGACGGCCCAAGAGGCCCCCAAGAGGGTCCCCTAACGGCCGAAGAGGGCCCCAAGACGGCTCCAGGAGAGTGCCCAGACGGGGGACCCGAACGGACATTTCAAGCTCTCAGCCCCAAGAGGCCCCCAAGAGCCAAGAGGCCTCGAAGAAGGCCCAAGAGGCCCCAAGAGGCTCCCAAGGGTCCCCCAAACTGCCCCAAGACAGCCCAGGAGAGCCCCAAATTGCCCAGGAGGCCTCCAAGAGTGCCTCGAGACGGCGCAAGAGGAGCCCTGGACGGCCCAAGACGGCCTCAAGAGAGCCCCAGGCTGTCCCAAGAAAGCCTCTGGCCTTCTCCTCTTCTTCCTCCTCCTCCTCCTCCTCCACCTCCTCCTCCTCCTCCTCCTCCTCCTCCTCCTCCTCCCCCTCCCCCCCCTCTGCTCCCCCTCCTCCTGCTCTCCTCTGCCTCCTTCTCCTCCTCTTGCTTCTCCTCCACATCCTTTCCCCCTCCTCCTCCCTCATCCACCTCCTCCACCCTTCCTCCACCTCCCACTCATCCTCCTCCCCCTGCCCCCCCCCGTTTTCATTTTCGTCGTTCTCAGGGTCGGCGGCACCAGCCGCAAGACCTTCGCAATCAAACCATATTCAAAACATTACCCTGTGACGTACCCAACCCATTTGTATCATGGGAAACGAGGAGTGGGCCGAAACTTGCATGGACAATCAAATTGCAGGATCAGTTGTTTGATATGTAAGCTACTTGGGACACGCGCCTCTGGCATGATGCGCAGGAGAACCATACAAGAACGAGGGGCGACAACTACAGGCTCGAAGAGGATATGGGGAGTCGGGAACGAAGAGCAGGAGAAAGACGTGCGGGAAACCCACTGTGCTGTGCCCCTCAGCAGCCCTCGAAAGTGGCGACAGTTTCACAGATCGCAGCCCCCCAGGGACGGCGAGGTCTGATTTGAGTCTGCGGTGAGTACCCACTGTGCTGTGCCCCTCAGCAGGCCTCGAAAGTGGCGACAGTTTCACAGATCGCAGCCCCCCAGGGATGGCAAGGTCTAATATGAGTCTGCGGTGAGTATCCACTGTGCTGTGCCCCATCAGCAGCCCTCGAAAGTGGCGACAGTTTCGCAGATCGCAGCCCCCCAAGGATGGCAAGGTCTAATCTGAGTCTGCGGTGAGTAATTACCCACTGTGTTGTGCCCCTCAGCAGCCCTCGAAAGTGGCGACAATTTCACAGATCGCAGCCCCCCAGGGATGGCGAGGTCCCATTTGAGTCTGCGGTGAATGCCCGCTGTGCTGTGCCCCTCAGCAGCCCTCGAAAGTGGCGACAATTTCACAGATCGCAGCCCCCCAGGGATGGCGAGGTCCCATTTGAGTCTGCGGTGGGTACCCACTGTGCTGGGCCCCCCAGCAGGCCTCGAAAGTGGCGACAGCTTCACAGATCGCAGCCCCCGAGGGATGGCGAGGTCCCATTTGAATCTGCGGTGAGTACCCACTGCGCTGGGCCCCCCAGCAGCCCTCGAAAGTGGCGACAGCTTCACAGATCGCAGCCCCCGAGGGAAGGCGATGTCTAATCTGAGTCTGCGGTGGGTACCCACTGTGCTGGGCCCCCCAGCAGCCCTCTAAAGTGGCGACAGTTTCACAGATCGCAGCCCCCCAGGGATGGCGAGGTCCCATCTGAATCTGCGGTGGGTACCCACTGCGCTGGGCCCCCCAGCAGCCCTCGAAAGTGGCGACAGCTTCACAGATCGCAGCCCCCGAGGGATGGCGAGGTCCCATTTGAATCTGCGGTGAGTACCCACTGTGCTGGGCCCCCCAGCAGGCCTCGGAAATGGCGACAGTTTCACATATCGCAGCCCCCCAGGGATGGCGAGGTCCTCTTTGAATCTGCGGTGAGTACCTACTGTGCTGGGCCCCCCAGCAGGCCTCGAAAGTGGCGGCAGTGTTACAGATCGCAGCCCCCCGGGGATGGCGAGGTCCCATTCGAATCTGCGGTGAGTGCCCACTGTGCTGGGCCCCCCAGCAGGCATCGAAAGTGGCGACAGTTTCACAGATCGCAGCCCCCCAGGGATGGCGAGGTCCCATTTGAGTCTGCGGTGAGTACCCACTGTGCTGGGCCCCTCAGCAGCCCTCGAAAATGGCGACGGTTTCACAGATCGCAGCCCCCCAGGGATGGCGAGGTCGAATCTGAACCTGCGGTGGGTACCCACTGCGCTGGGCCCCCCAGCAGGCCTCGAAAGTGGCGACAGTTTCACAGATCGCAGCCCCCCAGGGATGGCGAGGTCTAATTTGAGTCTGCGGTGAGTGCTCATTGTGCTGGGGCCCTCAGCAGCCCTCGAAAGTGGCGACAGTTTCACAGATCGCAGCCCCCGGGGGATGGCGAGGTCACATTTGAATCTGCGGTGAGTACCCACTGTGCTGTGCCCCACAGCAGCCCTCGAAAGTGGCGACAGTTTCACAGATCGCAGCCCCCCAGGGATGGCGAGGTCCCATTTGGAATCTGCGGTGAGTACCCACTGCGCTGGGCCCCCCAGCAGCCTTCGAAGGTGGCGACAGTTTCACAGATCGCAGCCCCCCAGGGATGGCGAGGTCCTCTTTGAGTCAGCGGTGGGTACCCACTGTGCTGGGCCCCCCAGCAGCCCTCGAAAGTGGCGACAATTTCACAAATCGCAGCCCCCCAGGGATGGCGAGGTCCCATTTGAGTCTGCGGTGAGTACCCACTGTGCTGGGCCCCTCAGCAGCCCTCGAAAGTGGCGACAGTTTCACCGATCGCAGCCCCCCAGGGATGGCGAGGTCTAATCTGAACCTGCGGTGGGTGCCCACTGCGCTGGGCCCCCCAACAGGCCTCGAAAGTGGCGACAGCTTCACAGATCGCAGCCCCCCAGGGATGGCGAGGTCCCATTTGAGTCTGCGGTGGGTACCCACTGTGCTGGGCCCCCCAGCAGGCCTCGAAAAGTGGCGACAGTTTCACAGATCGCAGCCCCCCAGGGATGGCGAGGTCCTATTTGAATATGCGGTGACTGCCCACTGTGCTGGGCCCCCCAACAGGCCTCGAAAGTGGCGACAGTTTCACAGATCGCAGCCCCCCAGGGATGGCGACGAGCGAGGTCAAAGGCAGGGGGGAAGAGAGGGACGGGAAGGAAGGAAGGAAGGTTCGCGCGAGCAGTGCTCTATTCAAAACGAGAACCCAACGCAGG